TCGTGGTTGTCGTCTGGGTGACAATATCGGAGTAGATTATTGATTCTCCAGTTGACAGTTTGGAGAGTCCACTCCCATTCCATCTGCTTTCGCAAATCCAAAGCACTTCGATGTGATACCCCCTCATCTCGTTTGCAATCTGGGCTGCCTTGCTGGGTTCAAACATCGTGCGGACATTCCATGTTCCCATGTTTACTTTCGCTTTCACCGAGAGAAGGGGAGACACATCGGCCGATTGGCTTCCCGAAGGCTTTCACCAACTGGCGTCATTTCGCCTCTCCGATTCCAGCGGGGAATAAGTTTGTTTTCATTTTTTATATTTTGTATGTGCTTTGAAGTTTCTTTAGCGGTTAGATTTGTTTTACTGTGTAGGGTTGCTAGCCCTATGCCCAACCTTCCCTTTTTACCTGGGCTTGGGACCGGCTAGTAACTAGTGAACTAGTTAACCAGGCGAGGTTGTTTAAAATTTACTTATGAAAAACAGCTATGTGGAAATGATAGCTGTCATTCTAATGAGGTATCAGATGATGACGCTGCAAGTGTAATCGTTAATACATTTGACACAGGACCTCCCAGTGGACTAATGGATCATGGTGATCAGGTTGTTGAGCTCACACCAGCCCCAAAGCGTACTCGACGCAAGTGAAAGCCAAATGCAAATGGTACACCAATCATAATGCCTGAGGACTCACCGAAAGCCTGCATCTCCGATAACTGCGTTGACTCTGTAAAAGTGGTCAACGAATCCACATGGATTTCTCTAAGAAAGCATACAAAGAGACTGCCAAAGGTTATCACGGAAGATACTAAGCTTATGAAACCTATTGGGTTTCGAAGGCCATCAACACACGACTCAAGGATTCCACTCCAGCACCTAGTTTAATCTTCTAGAATGTTGAGGAACCATTAGACAAAGATGCCTCAATACGTCACGGCCATAACCTGCAGCTAGTCGAGTCGGACATCAGACGTATTCTACCTGAGAAGTCTAAAGGGGCACACATCTGCAAAGTAGTTAGGCTGGGTAAGAAAGCGGATGATTAACCTGATGGGAGGACAGTTTTAAAGGTTGGTTTAGGCAACAAAGAAGGAGTGGATGTACTCTTGAGTAAAGCATCCAAACTACCAAATTCGGATATCCACATCCGACCTGACTGGCCCCTTGAGTTACGTTCGCGGTATTAGAATCAAAATGGCAGACCTCGAGACTCCAATCTTCGGGCTAGGTCCTGAAGTAGTAGCCCTTACTGAAACCTGGTTGATCAAGGATCTGGATTTTACGCCACTCCTCGCAGGGTATTACTGTGTAAGGACGGATAGGGTTGTGGGTCGCAAAGGTGGCGGCATACCACCATATGTTAGGGATGACGTCCACGTACGATTAGTCACTTCTGAAGCACATGAATGCGGGACCTGTGAAGTGACCATTTGCGAGCTGAAGTCAAAGCATGGTTCCTATGCTATCGGGGTCATTTACCGTAGTCCTTGCAAATGGCTTCGTGCTAACTCATGTACGTAAGTGGAGTCGATGTAACAGATGCCCAATAGTTGGGGGTCTGAATGCTTCAAACATAAACTGGACGGAGCTAAAAGTCTCACCACCAGGCGGTTCGTTCGAAGATGACTTACTTTCGACGGTCTTAGAATCTGCTTAAGTTGAAAACGTAACATGCGCAACACGTTGCGATTTTGACCACAGACCATCGTTATTAGATTTGGTTTTAACCCATCAATGTGAAGACATTTTGGATCTACGATAGTTCCCTCCATTAGCTGACGGCTACCATGTAGTACTGATCTTTGGTTTTCGGACTAATGAGTCTGATTATGACACTGCCTCCCCTAGACCTAATGTATGGCGTGCGGACATTTCAAGTATAAGGGATTGCGCAATCAGTAAGGATTGGACTGCCGACAAGGACTCATGGATTGAGAATGCATGGAATAGGTTTAGAACTCTATTTGAAGAGGTAATGACGCCATTTATTCCATGTTCGACTCCACGACGATCCTCACATCGCCTTCCGTGGTTTAATAAAGACATTAAGAGACTGTTAAGGCGGAGGAAGCGTTTATGGGACTTTTTTCTAGAAACTAGACTGGAAACATTTAAGACTGAGTACTGTAAAGTCCGTATTCTCTACAAAACCTTGATTACACGGTCTCGAATGTCCTAAGAGAAGCAGCTTGTGAGGGATTCCCAAAACTGTCCTAAAAGACTGTTTGCATTCGTCAGAGGGGGGACTAAAAGAAACGGCGGAATTCCCTCTCTGGCGACGGATGAGAAGTCCGACAGTCTGGCGGAATCTAATCTGCCCTGAGCTGAATGTCTCTGTGATTACAATAGTGAAGTCTTCTCTGTAGATCATGACGATGAAATGCTAAATAGTGGTGTCAGCACTGTTCCACTAATAGATAAAGTGTTCACAACAAAGGAAAGAGTCTTACAGTTGCTCATTAACCTCAGACCTGGAAAATCCCCAGGTCCCGATGAGTTACATCCCAGACTTCTATCCTCGCTAGCAGACATCATTGCTGAGCCAGTCACGGATCTTTTCAACATATTCCTAACTCAGACTAGCCTCCCTAGAGACTGGAAAGATGCCATAATCAGCCCAGTCTTTAAGGCCGGTAGTCGCCATTTGGTGTCCAACTATCGTCCTGTGAGTCTAACTATCATAGTTGTTAAGATTTTAGAAAATAATTCGTGACAGGGTACTTAAACATGTGGAAACAAGCAATCTTTTGGCGCCACAGGAACACGGTTTTCGTACTGGGCACTCCCGTCTGACTAATCTCCTTATCGCAAGACAGGAGCGGGTTGCACCCCGTGATTGCAAGCTGCCAATAGATGCCGTGTTTATAGACTTCAGTAAGGCATTCGACAAAGTATCGCATGTGAAATTACTAGGAAAGCTCTCCTCCTTCGGGTTTGGTACTTCACTGCAAGCTGGGATTCAGGACTTAACATACGACAGAAGGCAAAGAGTAAGGGTAAATGGGACACTATCCGGGTGGAAACCTGTGATGAGTGGAGTTCCTCAAAAAACAATCCTAGGTCTACTACTTTTCTTGTTATATATCAACGAATTGCCAAATATGCTCAACCCTTCGGTACTGTTATTTGCCGATGATGTAAAGATTTGGAGAGCCATACGCAGTGATGCAGATAGGTATGCACTTCAGACGGATTTAGATGAACTAGTAGGTTGGTCCAAACGTTGGTGCTTGGAAATCAATTCTAACAAAAGTGCAATAATGCACATTGGTCATAGCAACTGTTTCCAGTATTCCGTTGATGGTATACCACTACTTCCAGTCCTTGAAATAAAAGACTTGGGTGTCATCATTAGTCATGATTTGAAAACCTCGGCAAGCTGCAATGCAGCTGTAGTGAGGGGCTCCCGTACATTATGGTCCTTCCGCAGAGCTTTCAAATTTTTTGATGAGGACATGTTTAGAATACTCTACCTGCGTTAGACCTCACTTGAAATACTGCATTCAGGCAGCCAGCCCATGCCTAAAAAAGGATACTGACGCACTCGAGCGTGTTCAAAGGGTAGGTACTAAGCTTGTGGCAGGCCTTTCGAACCTGTCCTGTGAAGAACGACTAGATCAGCTAGATTTATTCCCACTGTCTTACCGTAGAAGCCGGGGTGATCTCATACTGGCATTTCGTATTCTTAATAATGACTTTGGTACTGATATGTCCTATTTTTTCTCTCTTGCTAGAACTGACTATCTCCGAGGGCATCAGAAGAAAATTGTAAAACCGCGATCGAATCAACTTAGCGTGAATCTGCGTTTATCCCATCTTGTTGTCAACGTCAGTGGTCGTCACACAGGCGCTGACCAGTGAGTCAGATACATCAAGTAAAGAAGCCACCACTGCTACAGCCCCCACCCAAGTTAAGAACAAAACACAAAAAAACGGAACAATGCCAGTCCTATGAGGACTGGCGAGGCTAAATTCAACCACGTAAGCGCTCATCCCGCGAAAATACACATCCAGACCTCCCCTCTCATCAGGCACACTCTAATATGTATGTACAGCAACGTTAGGGGGCTAAGAGGGAAGGTAGCAAAAATGAGGACGCTGCGTGAACATCAGCACTACGACATCATATTCATCACCGAATCCTGGCTCTCGTCGGACATCTCCGACGAAGAGATGCGTGTTGCTGGCATGGAATTCTTCCGCAGGGACAGGGAACATAGAGCAGGAGGGGGAGTGGCTATCTACGCAAACTCCTGTTCAAAGGCAAGGATGGTTAGCGATACGGCCTTAACCCAGCTCCCAGAGTCTCTATGGTGCTACTTCACTCTCTTCTTTATTCTCTCTTCATTCCTTTACCACTACCTTACTATCCTCTTTCAGGTACCTACACAGACAGGAGTCACGGCAGTTCTCTAAACGTCCCAGCAACCCGTAGCTCCCTAATCACTCTACAAATTACAACCTACTAACCCACAAAACATCCACCTCACCGAAGCTAAAAGCAAGAAAGCAGAGGGTATTTCCTCGTCCACTGCAGGAGTAAACCGAACAACCGGAACCAAGCCCTAAGAACTAGACGCGAGAGACCAAAAACTACCAGTTTTCTACGCTCGCACCATCAATATTGGATATTGGAACGTCTGGAAGTCTTTACCTCAGCAAGCAGTATCAGCACCTTCTGTCAACGCGTTCAAGGAGAAACTAGATCTTCACAGAGATATCCTCTGCAAGGATTAACACAGGCCAACTAGCCTACTATCCTTATAACTGAAACTGAATTGAAACTGAAAACAAACGACACTACAAATTTAACCAACAACCAACCGCCCGTCGGGGTAACCAGAGCTACAGCAGTCGAGTGGGTAGACCTACTGCATTGGTATCCACCAAAGGCCTAGAATTGTTCCGCAAGATCTAGAAGCGAGCGCGAAGAAAACAATTGGTTTACACTAGCTCGTTAAAAGATATTGGAAGTTAAGTCCTTGACCTTGTTTTTTTCGAAATGCGTCGGAGACTTTTGTCAGAATCTCAGGTTGATAAGGAGTATTTCAATTCTCTCATAGAACAACAAAAAGTTGATGACATTACAATTGGAGTTTTTTATCGTTCACGTACCTTGACAGTACTGGCTATTATCTGGTCGGGTTTAGTTTATATCGCTTTCTCAAAGTAAATCAGCTCCTAACCTAATTCAGGACTTAAGATCGCCCACACAACCACTGCCGTATAATCTGTATCATGCGTTCATTGCTGTGTGTGTCATATTTTTATTGATATCAGTAATGATAATGCCGAATGGTATGCTCATTAAGTTTGATTATATTTATTCATTCTCTACTTATAACTGTGCATAGTTATCCATATAAAAAGTTATTGTATTGCATTGTTATTGCATTTAACTGTGCTAGTTTTATGACCAAGTGATGTATTCATGGTCAATAAACTATTTTCTATTCTGGCATCTTCATTGTTGTTGGGTGTGAGACATGTATCTGTATCTGGTTCTAATCTGCACGTATTGGCTTTCAGACAGCCTTTGTTGAGTACATTTTCCATCAAATGGTCATGTGATACATGTGCTCAAGTTAAGGACAATATGCAAATAATAAATTTGAGTTCAAATGTTTCTTCTCGAACAACAGTCTTTTACCCATGATATACTATTATATCTGTCATAGTTAATGTAAATGTGCTGTTTCCTTATAAGGATGATTCTTTCTGATCGATTACCGAAAACTGTGGGTTGAAGCCGTAAAGTAAACACCAGTTTCTAAAATTCACGCATACTGATTTAGTTTTCGCAAAATGTGTATCTCTAAATAGCATTTCACGTTTGTTTTGTGAGGCATAAAATGCATTTATATGCGTATTATTGTGATGTGTCGCCGGTTTTGTTTCTCATGCTTCAGCAATCTCTTCAATTTTTGAAGGATGAGTGTGAAGACTTCAGGTACAAGATAAGGCGTAATGAGTTACAAAACTGAGTTTTTGAAAAAGAAGCATTTTGGAGACGTTCACAGTACTAAAGCATTAGTGTTGCCTGAGGTTTTGACTCCGTTGTCTCGTTTTTCAAATGTCTGACTCCAGTGACAGATATGTATGCAGATACATTTACGTGGATAAAAGGAAATTTCTCCTCGTTACTTTAGTATGTTGGACGTTTGGTAAGCGCAGTGAGCTTTATACCGACTTGAAACGTCTTTCGTGGCAACCTTCATTCAAAATGTAATCCGAAATCCTATGTATAAGACGCAAGCTGAAAAGATATGTTATGTATCTTTCTCATAGTTTAGTGGGACTAAATGTTTCTGGGTTTCTGATCTTTTATATGTGAAAAACTTCGGTGCTTTAGTAATAAGTTTATTTTTATGGACAGTTTAGTTGGTAGCTATGTGCAAAGTACAGTATATTCCCTAAGTACTAGATGGATTTCGTCCATATATCCTTTTCAGCTTTTGTTAAAATTATCGCATCACTGAGACTTATCTAATTCAGTTGATTATTGTATTGTCTTTAATTAAATAGTGTTACTATGAAGCGATAAAAAGCCCTAATACAAAGTGTAGTGTATAGTTTTTACAACTAACTGTCACGGCAGTAGAATTTCACCCTTAAACTCCTATCACAGCTCTAGTTGCTCATAGAAAGACAGTAGTTGTTTTGTGTTACCGCTCTGCAAACTTTCTAACATGATAGAATATGAAAAAACAAATGTACGACCCAGTACAGCTCAACTTGGCCATCACAGTGTACAACCTCAACCACCAAATTGAGTTAACGTCTGGGGATGGTACTACTTTGTTTTGCATACTTGATGCAGTAGTTTCAGAGAACAGTGTAGCTTAGCATATATCGTTCAAACTATGTGCTGTTGAAGTCCACAAGATGGGCAAGTGAATTCTCAGTTTTCACATTCGTAGCTTGGTTATAGTTACTTAGATATTACCGACGCAAACAAGTGACTTCAGCACGTATAAATTTCATACTGAAGATGTTAATATCAATATCAATCGCAAACGCGAACAAAAAGGAACAAGGCAACATGGAATTCCTGACAAAAGTTCTGCTGTTCACAATGCCGCATTTTGAAGCATCACGCAAAGAGTAATTGGACAGATTTAGAACTATATCCAAATAAACTAAATTGATATGATAAGATATTGATATGAAACATTTCAATCAAAAATAGAGGACATGAGAAAACTTCAGATGTTCCAACACTTTAGCCATTGTAGTATAGATCATGTTTCATGATGTAACCAAGTCAGTAATGAAAAAGTCAGGTGTAGAGTTTTAGGAAGAATAGGGGAGTCAAACGGTGGAGTTGTGAACTCTCATTGACTCACGTGGTTGGGAAATATACTACGCATGCTCAGTCGATATCTGCCCCGTCGCATACTGTTAACTAAAGTAGGTTCAGGCTGGAAGGAGGTTAGGGGCCGCCACACTGAAACTTGGCGTCATTCCCTGAAGTTTTTGACTGTCAGTCTGAGCCGTGTAAGAGAACGTAGACTTCTCGGTTGGCGTCCGCGTGACAACAAAAACCAGTGATTAGATACCCTATGTTATGTGACTTATTCTTTATCACTTTCGACTGCTTTCTTCATTATTTCTCCACCTTTTATCTTGGACCGCTGAACGGTAATACTAGGTCCTATTTTAATACCGTCTGTCAAATTGAAGACTACATATCTAGTCAATATTTTCACTTCTTAAAGCATTGTCTTCTACATCCCCTAAGCTGATCAGATGCTCTTCGGTTATCGGATCAGTTTCTGTGAGGTTGGAGGTAAACAGGATGGCTTTCATTAGTATATTTGTCAGTGTAGTTTAGTAAGAATTGTGATGCTAAGCAGGCTTAACGAGCACTGATGATTTTGGTTGCTTCTGATAGAAGCTATCTGCAAACTTCTGCATACTAGCATAAATCCTAGCCGAGAGAGTTGATAAATAATATCTATTCTTAACCGTGCGCTTCCTTTGTAGTCAAACTTTGCTGAAAATAATCCAAACTAATGGATTCGAATATTCTCTTCAGGTAAAACAGTCTATCAAATGTTGAGTACCAGTAAACGTGTTTTTCTTACAAATGCTGAACAATACTGAAGATTCGATCAGTGTATCCTTTCCTAGCTCTTATATTCAGATGATTTCATGAAGTTTGTTGTTTTTGAGTTCTAGATAGACATCAAATAGCAGAAAAGCCGAGGATCTTGGATAATAATATGCCAGTCAAGCCAATTTCCTTATGGCTATTACAGTAAGATTTGTCGCCTCTTTCATAAATTAGGAGGGCCGATAACTGAAATAGCTTTGATATTACTAACTTAAATAAATCTCATCCCATCTCTTTCAGTGTATAGAGGGTTAATTTGTAGTACACACACAGAGTAATCATGATCTGACTTATGATATTACAAATGGTAGCGAAAGTTTAGAAAAAGTAACAACTGCTGTTGCTGAAAACAATATTTAACGCAAATTTTACTATTTACATGTTTGTCGGGTTGACTGAAGCTAAATTTATTAGTTAGAGGTTCAACTATTGTCAAAACCTGGATTAGAATAAATGGAATCGGATCAGAAGTAAGTATTCTGTGTTTCGATAGGAAGTAGTGTTTAATTCAATCTTTGGCTATAAAGTAGTAGTAGTAGCAGCCACCTATCATTCTGTTGATACATGTTTCATTTTGTATACAAAAAGGAATAAACTCCTAATTAGTTCTGCTCATTTATAGATTGTTAATAAAACAAAAGTCAAAATCCACTGAGCAACCTTGTGCACGTCCCTGCAGTAGACAGTGAGCTACATCTGTTATGTGAGGTGGGTGGAGTGGGGTTGGAACTAGTGACCCACTGGTTGAAACTCAACCGCTTAAACCAATGATCTATGCTAAGATTTTACTTATCGTTTATTTCACTGATCAACAGCAGTAATTTGCGATGCTTATGAGTGGATATAACGCCCAGTAACCGGGATTAGTTTGACGCTCAAGTACAGTATTGTGATGATATTATTTCAGAGGAATATTCTGTATTTAGACTACTACGAGTTGACCTGATATGTTTTATTGGTATTTCTGTGTTTTATCTTGAATCACTGTTGACCCCAAATGCTTAGGAATTGTTTTCCCTTGAGAAACGCTTGACGTTTGCCTCTTTTAGTATTGTGGTATTTAAAGTAACCCACATTAAACATATACGGTATCGTTTTAACACTTTAAGTACTTTGCTAATCAAAATTAGGAAGTATGTTTATCTCAAACGACGATTGAGTATTCTTGGCTTTGACAGCATCTATAGTATTGCTATTTGCTGCTCAAATCATTTCTAAAGATCATCTTAAATGAATCTTTTAAGTTTTTGTATTGTAAAATAAGGTTTTCTAGAAGTTACTTGGAACCCAAATGAATTTCTCCAATAGAAACGGATTGTCGGCAATGTTAACACTAAATAAGAACCCTCGGATCTGTCGCTTTTGGTTGACTTTTAGACTTGCTTGCTTTTCATATAGTTCTGGGATCTGAACATCACCCCACCTCTTTGATCTGGGCATAGGGATAGCACCATAAGTCTTAACATAACAAGTTTTCAAAAGCAGTTTAGTACATCGGCCTATCATTGATTGAGTTGCGTACACTTCTCATTTATCATATCAGACATCTTGTGTCTACGCGTGTAAAAATAATTGACAGATGTTTTATGTACTTGTTGGTTTTACGTGTCATGAAGATGCACCTGATAAAACTGTGCAAGCTCTGAATCAACTAATCATTTAGTGTAACTTATCTACTCATTGCGGGTTTATCCACTAGGCTATGAGCCCCACCTAATGTGTGAGGGTTTATGAAACTAATTGGTTACTTATACCGAAGTCTGTTATACGGCTGTCAGACACGGCCGTTAAAAGTATCAGATATGGAACGATTCCAAGTTTTTGATCTTAAGTTCTTTCTTAGTATTGCTTGTGTATGGTGGGATCACTATTTAAGTAATATTGAGGTCTGACGAGTGGCACTAGGCAAAGAAGGCTAGTCAGTCGATGAGTTTGTGAACCTCAGTCGACTGAGATGGCTTGCATATTTATTGTGCGTGCTAAACCATGGCTTGCCTGGACGTGCTAGGGTGGGGAGAGTTAGATAAGGTTGGAAGATAGTTCAGAGTAGCCGGACGAAGACGTGGTGCCAGTCGGTGGAGTTTCTGACTGCTGGGCTGAGCCATATAGACCACTTGACTGAGCTCTTTGAGATAACAGTAATCAGTGGTTTGAGAGTCTTGATGAAATGCCTGGAAATTGGTCAGAGTGGCAAAGATGTAGTCACTCTTTGGTTTCTTTTAGACTTAAAATGTTCCGAGTAACTTTGATCTTCAAATTTCTTTCCTACCTATACACTTTTGCCCACTTCGATATCATACTTTTTCTGTCCATTTGTTCTTTGTGAACTTCTGTGTTAGTATGGCATCTTGAACCGATGCACTTGTATGCAAGGTTCTACGTTGATTTTGTTTTTCTGTCTGTCTATACCAAAGTAGGGTTAGCCGGATTTGAACTTGGTACCCGTCATGTGAAAGACGTGCCTAACTAAATGAAATACATCTCCACGTGCAAAGTTTGACATGTATACCGACTACTTTTAATATCGAAAGACAATAATATGTAAGAATTTGAACTTACTTTTTCTATTCATTCCAGGTCCATTTATCCGACCTCATCCGGCGATATGGAGAATCGTCTTCGGTGCTAGTTTGCTGTATTTTCTCTGTCTAGTTGCAGTTGTATTCCTCCGCTTGGATGAAGCTCGGGCAGTTTTAATTTGGGTTTATCCTGAACTGAAGTATATGCGTCATTCTGATATTCTTGACAAAGAGTACGCTGTCAATTGTAGTCAGGTTTGTGAATAAGTAAATTTAATACTTTTTAATACTTTTTTTAATTATAAAGTTATTTCCTTTGTTCACAACTTTCAAAGTTGCTTTTTTAACGTCGCTTAGCTTTGTGATTCGCTGGTATTCAACAGCTAATCATCCTTCACCTTATTAAGAATCTAAGATTGGCAGACATATTACTTTTATGCGTTATATAATCTGTTGTTTGATTTACTTGATGTAGAACGCAGTACTGAGTTCTAACTTTGTGTTCCATAATGTGGCTACCGATAGGGTTAACAAGTATTTCATCCTCTTTGGGAGTGAATGACTGTATCTGCATCCCACTGGGTATTAATACTGCCTGTGCTGCTGGAATACAAAATTGTTTGGTTTAAAGGTTAGAGCGTTATCCTCTAAGCTACTAAAGCATAAAGACTACATCAGTTACAAGAGGTTTTGTAATTTCTAGTTGACTACTTTTACTAAACAGATTTGGTCAGTGTTTCTTCACATTAACATTTATTTTACATATATCCTGAAGCAACTGTTAATTTCACTATTGCTATAAACTGTTTACCGCTACTTACCAGTGGATTCTAGTATGCGCGTTCGTCCTTTTCCAGATTCATCAACCGAATTTTCCAGTATCCCAGTTGGTCTGTCAAGTTAGTCGAACCGAAAAAGAATGAGAAATTTTAGTTCATTCTCTAAGCTAGATGGTTTAATTGTGAAGCTTTTATTATCATTCTAGTTAACATCATGAGGATAAACATTAAAAAAGTAGTGATGTTAAGATATCTCCATGAATAGTTTATATTTCTGGTTGGTTTAGGACACCATCGATGGTTTTAGTAGCTGAGTGGTTGCTCGTATGCTGATCTTATGGTTAACATGACAGAGGATTCCGTAAGAGATTTTGAATTATTTCTGCTGGGTGGATTAGGCATCGATCTGATGAACAAACATTCAGGAAGTATTCCTTCCCCTCACCTAGGTATACTGATCTTCAAGACTGTTGTCTGGACCAAATATATGGTGGGATTGTGTTTCAGTCCATGCATTACAATAGCTTTCTTAATTTATATTGCATAGTAGAGTGTGTAATTTAAATTTTCTGCAGGTTCTTATGCCCTGCTAACCTGAAAAACCCTTTAATCCCTTTATCAACTTGAGTGGAAATCTGAATAGGCTTGGCATACATTTTGGATCTGTCAAATCTAAGTTGATGGTTTAACCACAGTGACTTCTAGTTTAAGGATAGGAAGTGAAGTGGTCGAATACGTTTAGCATCTGCTAACTCTTACGCTGCCTCTGGCGCTAGTGGGATAACTAACCATCTAATAAAGGACAAGTATACTGCGCGGTGATCCGCTTTGTTCTGTTGTGTGGCTGTGAGATATGGCCACAGAAAGTAGGCGTGAAGAGATTATAGGTTTTTAAAAGCAGGTATCTTGATAGTATTGGTAATGCGGGGTGAAATCAGCGTGTAAGTAATGTCGAGGTTAGGTGAAGGTAAGGCACACAAGTCGGGTCCATGAGGTTATGAACCTTAACCGACTGAAGTGAATTGGACATGAGTTGCTCATGTTGAGTCGTTGCCTTTACCTCTATGTGAAGTTAGATGACCGAGAGTGACGAGAACAAGATGTAGCAATAATCCATGAAGTGTCTGGCTGTTGTTTCGAGCTATGTAGGAGGTTTGAGACTATCTGACTTAATTGGGGAGCCTTGTTGAAATACTTGGAAATTGGTCAGAATAGAGTAAACCTATTCTCTATATGATGTCTTCTGAAGTTTAAACATTGGAGTAACCTTAGTTTTTCAGTCTTTCTCTTCCCATACATTTTTTCTTTTCATGATGCTATGAATTATGGCAAATTGAATCGATGTACGCTTCTGTGAGGTCCTTTAAGTGATTTTGTCTGTTTGTCTACCTGCCCATCTGCCTTCACCAACCCCACAGCTTTCATTGTCAGTCAAAGTATTATTGTATACAGATAGTTTTTATAACAGACGAAATGCACATCTTAGATTCCACTGCTCTAGCCAGTTTTGTTAAACGATCCTAATTATCCTAATAATTTGGTAATTTTTTAAGAAATTTTACGTAATTAATACAAAGCAGTGCAATATGATTTTATCGATACATTCCGTGAATTAGTTTCTTCATATTGTGTTCAAAAGCTTCTTTCCTTGTTTCTCATTTGAAGAAATGCTCTTTAGGTGAAATAACGACATTGCCAGTATCTAGTCCGTAATATTAGTGCTAATTTGTAAGTAGCGTTGACATATCGTCATGTGTGAATATAGTTTGATACTTCACTACTGTTGCTATTATTATTATTATTATTATTATTATTATTATTATTATTATTATTATTATCGTTGTTGTTGTGTATGAAATATCAAGTGACCTTGACCTGTATCATACCTGACTTACTGTATAGTCGTTTCGCTGTGTGTGTGTGTGTGTGTGTGTGTGTGTGATAAGACAAGAATATATTTTAACAAGCAAAACAATCTTAAGATTATATCTGTTTTCTGACGCATGAAGTCTCCAGAAAACAAAATCTGTTCCTATGACATGTCATCAGTCGATATGACATTGCTTTCGATTTTCTTTTCCTTATTAGGTGCATATTTTAATGTGATATCATAGAGTAACGCTCTTTTTGCTTTTTGATAAATAATCATTGAAAATCAGGTGGCAGCTTCGCTATCAATCAAGGTTTCATAAAATCCCTGACTGGTTAGTCTGAGCTGCGTATATAAATGCAAACTATCAGGTTGGAGTCCACGTGACAACTGAAATCGGTGGTTAGAAACTCTAGGTGAAATGACTAAGGATGATTAATCTCAGTGATGCAGATATACCCACACATTGTTTTTATCTGAATCGTCATTACTGGATTTCATTATGGTACCTCCCTCCTCTTCTTCACAGACCTCCAGATTAAATTATGACTATTTGTTGATTTACTTGTAATTCTTCCCTGCTATACTGGGTCCGATTGTTCTACCTGTATTGGCATTCGGGCTCCTATGCGGATGCCTCGATACTGCCTGAATATTTATTATGATAATTTACTTGCTTATAGCTAGCAGAAGAATCCAGAAATCACTTGACCTTTGATGTTTGAAGAGATGCGTGCGAGGTTCGAGTCAGTGGGAACAACACTCACTGGGGCGCAGGTACGTCCAGCTGACGTGTCTTAAATAGGACGGAACACGCGTTCTGGATCCCTCTGTATTTGGTTTATGCTTTGAATTGAATTATTTGCTGATAATTATCTGTAGGGTTGACCGGTTTTGAAGTAAAAATGTATAACTGTCAACAGAATTGGTTGGTGACTTTTTGGTGGCATGGTTTCTGTTATAGTGTGTGAAAAAATTGCCCAAATTCGCATAAGAAGTATTAAATTCCTGAAGCCTTCTACAACCAATCATTTTTCTCCGAAGTTTTGGGAAAACCCACGTGAATCAACGTGTAAATATCAGATTGGTTGAACAGACGAAAATCAATACAATATTCTAATCTATAAAAGCCTGGAAATAGTCAACACCGTTACAAATATATATAAACCGTTGTATTTTGTATGCATTTTGACGTTGCAATATACCTTCTGTTATCTTACCTTTTTTTCCATTTGTCAAGAAATTGAAAGACCATCAAGAATGAAATCTAAAAGTTATTGATCACGTGTCTACTCACTGAACTGTCTTGGATTGGATTTTAAATGAGATCGATATACAGTGTTTAAGGAGACCCAAATAACGATGATGAAAAATTACTGTTCACTGCTAACCGGTTGCCAATAATCAGTCACCTAACACCAATACTTGTTATAAAAAATAATTAAATTGTACTAGTTTTGGTTAAGTCCTACAGTGCAATCGTGTGACTTTTTACACGTCACATTACCACTACATCAATGTAGAAGGGGGTATCAAAATGAAAGATAGGAAAATGGGGAATAAAAATCTGATCAAAGTCGTAGGAAGTCATAAGAAGAGAGGAATAGGGACGTAAAACAGTAACGAAATGTGGTATACCGATTAGGGTGAAGACAGTGTATGGATGCGTCGCCACCGTTGGGATTGTTTCTCAGCCATATCATTTAGATTCTCTAGTCCTCGGTTCCACTTGTCACGTAGACCCCAACTGAAAAGTCTACATTTTTCTACACTGCTCAGAAGAACAATCAGACACTTCATGAACTGATATCATGTTTCAGTCTGTTCGTCTGTGACTTTCTTCTCTGATCACAACTTAATTCGGCTAACCTTACTCAATGGAGCAGTGCTAACTATAACAGGAATTAAACTAAGAGAATAGTTAGACTCATACATAATTTTCATATTTGTAAACTAAGCAACAAGTTACACCTTTTTCTCAATATTTAATAACACCGTCTAGCTCCCTGAAATTTGGTGGGCGGAACTCATAATCCACTGACTACAAGCCAACTGCAGTAAACCACTAAACGGAAACCCTACTACCTTTAATAATAATGGTGACGAAATCAGCTATTTCATCAAGAGTCCTCAACCACTAATTTATATCTTCTCGGGGACCCCATCTCATCTCATACGGCTCAAATCAAAAGTCAGAGACTTCATGGACTAGAGCCGTGTCATGGTCTGGCCACTCGGATTGGTCTTCAAACCTAATCCAACTTCCCCCAGAATCGGACGTCTAGGTGGGTGATGGCTTGGTATTCTCAGTACATGCCCAAACCACTTTAGTCGACTAAGTTTCATAACATCATCGACTGACTTACCCTTTGCCTGGCCTCAACATTGCTCACACAGTGATTCCACCAAACGTGAGCACTGCCACGAAGACACCTGTGATCAAAACATTAATATTTCAGATTATGGACAAGGTCATATGTCAGGTATATATACATATCTGTCTTAAGGTTAATTGGCTTCTTCTCGGAAGAATAAACCCTTCCATCCAGTTCAATCTTCTCTATTTCGTCCTGGGTTGAAGTCGGTGGATCTTGCGTACGAAGTTAGCCGTCAGTCAAGCATGCATATTGTATTCTCTCGGAACACAATAAATACGTAGTCGAATATCTTGCCATTCGACGCCACAGATGAGTCAAGCTGGCAATTGTCAGACGAGTCTTCTGTATTCGAACTGAAATTTTGTCAGCAACTTATTCGATCTGGTACAACTTTAAAAGGAAGTGAAGTGCCAAACGCCATCAACTACTTCACTTCCTATCTTTAGACTGACCAATCCTCGATATTGCTGGTACTTTCATTTCAATATTAATGATGGCTAGTGGCTAGAAGGGGAATCCCAACTTTGCGTTTAGTCCTGTTTAGGGCTTATCAGCCGAATTTATATGCCTCCTAGTGAGTGATGTTGGCTCCGATAGAACTCGAACCAAGCACCAATCTCCTCAATGCCAGAGTGTTCACTGAGTTACAATAGGCATCCGCACAGGAACCTACTTGCCGATAGTCGCCGATAGATTTGGTTCAGTCAACTACAGGATAATACAAGCCGTATAATATCTTAACTTTACTATACCCGTCGCACAAGCAGTGGCTATCGTAACTCAATGGTCTAGTGGATAACGCTGTGGTGTTTTAAGTGGTTGATCTTAAGTTTCAGTCTCAATGAGAATAACATCACTCACGGTGGGGCTGATGCATCCAGCTCACGAGTCCTAAATAAGATGAAATGTGCGTCGTGAATTCCACTGCTAGCCACTAGCCATAATTAATATCAAATTGTAGTAATTTTTAGAATTTGTATACGGCTGATGATGACAGTGGTATTTAACGCTCAACCACTGCGTCGGAATCTAATAGTTCGTATTTACTACTTCTGTCAGTTCATGATATAATACAACCATCACACAGTGTCATCCTTGAGTATTGGTCCTCACGTCTACCCGGTTTGCTACACCATTCACGACTTCTCATTGAAACTTCAGGATTCACTTCTCAAAACTAGTCACCAGTGAGCACTAAATTCATTCAATTTTGGGGTTTGTGAGGATTTATTGATTTCAAGTTGGTATTCATCATGAACTGATATCAGTCGGAGAAACATTAGAAACCTGGAGGCACTGAATAGCTGTTTCCCCCTGGATGAAGGTTGGGTGATAGTCACGCTATATCGTGAACTGACAGAAGTAGAAAATATGGACCGTTGAATTCCGACCTGTGTTTGCCGCAGAACTTGAAGGTCCCGAGTTCAGGGTCATGGATGCGCACTGCTGAAGAGTTTCATACTAGGATAAAACGGTGGCTGTCCAGTACTCCCACGTTTCCAATATTCTGCAAACTGATGTCAGTCCATGATGAATACCGACTTAAAACTAATAGATCCCTACGAACCCCCACAATTCAATTTTTTGCTTACGAACGAAGTTTCCACTATATCATCAGGAAATTAGTTTTCTGAGGCATTAGAATCTTTTACTGTAAAATGGATAGTCTATACATCATTTCTTTGCTTCTGATTTGTTATTTAGATTTCAAAAAGGTGTTTTTTATCATGTTGTTGTCTTTATTCTTATTATTTACTCAGATTTCCTTGGCTCGAGTCTATTCACATATGGATATATTTGCAGTTGCGCATTTCTTTGGTTGGCTTGTTAAAGCTATCCTTTTAAGACACCATATAATTGCCTGGACTCTATCAATTAATTGGGAGATAACTGAAGTAAGCAAATAGCTGATTGATTGATGAGAAAGAGTGTGGCATTTTAGAACTTTTCCAATGTTGGTTTTGTGATATTTTGATATACTGAAATTAACATTTAATGTTTTTCCACTTTACCTTTGTGTTTATATGGTGATGATGATGATGATTCTGACTGAGATAACTGTGGTTTGGCAAACTGTTATTGTTGATGGTTGAAGAGCAAACAAAACCCTGAGTGACATGGGGATTCGAACCAGCGGGCTCCGAGTTACGATCCCGTGCTCCATCAACTGAACTAAGCGACACGTTTGCTAACCAGGTCTTATTTTCGCTTCAATCATCATTCTCTACCAATCAATATTCGGTTATTTATCAATCAAATGTATTGTCTCCATTTCGTTTTCTGCTCAGGTGGCTTTTTCCCATATTCTACCGAATTTCAGTGAATGTTGGTGGGATAGCCTTATACTGGATGTGTTAGTGTGTAATGGATTAGGCATACAATGCGGTATGTGGTTATGTCGTTGGCTGGAGATGCGTAACTACAAATGGGATTCTATTAGAAATATACCCGGTGCACGGGGTAAATTGAAACGTGCTTTTCTACAGTTCACACCACGCAGGTAGTTAAACGCGTATATATATATATATATATATATATATATATATATATATATATATATATATATATGTGCATATTCACTTCGTTGATAGGCTTCTGATTATATTTTAATTATTATAGCAATAACAATGATCTTTTTATAGGTCAATGGAAATATTTCATTGCAGAGAATAAACTAACCTAAAGGCTTTTTGTACCTTCAGTTAAAAACATATGTTATAGTGTAGAATCACATGCAGAAAAGAATCATTAAAGACAGGCATTCATTGACATCTGGGGCCACTGGACACATGCTTCGTTCTAGTTTGCGACTGCCGAGTAAAGCGTGTCAACGACCTTATGGGGGATTGAACCCAAGATTGGCAATTCTCAGGGCGAAAACCTTAAAACTCAGCCATTGCTTCAGAATCAATTGGTTTGTGTCTCGATTCGTGATACTGGATGATAACTGTCCCATTCAATTGACCTGGTTATGGTGAGATTTGGTGGTTCTTGGTTCGATCCCTGTATAAATAACTTCGGTCCGTGATGAACATCTTTTGAAGAGAGACGAAAAATATCATCAACATGGGTGAAAATAAGAGAAAATATACAAAGAAAACTTAGGAGAACCCAAGAAGATAAATATTGAGTGCATCCTCCTTTCCTGTGAAGGGAGTGATGTGCAATATGAAGTACCTGTGATAAGAGACCATCAATAACATGATTCATAATCGATCACCATGCTGTGAAGATAAATCTGTCCATTTTCATCGTTTCAACACCGAGCATTCTACTAACATGAATTTCATTTTGAAGTACTTCCCCTCAATCATCTTCATCATACACCAAGAAGAACCACACTCGTAGAATAAAATAAGCTCATTTGATTTTGACACGTCTCCTCACCTACTCACAGCCTAATTATACATATATACAATGAAGAGACATTTCTGTTGAGTAGAATGAATATGGAAATTGATGATGTTTGTTGAGACAGGAATGCTGTCAATGGTTATAACCACAATCCTACGAGTGACACCAGGATAGAATGTCCATTTATAGATAGTTGGGAAGATCTAGGAATTCTACAAAATGGTTTACAACAAAAATAATTTTTTCCATTCAGTAACGTATACAAATGAATTTGACGAATATTATGTAGGCAAATAAGTTCAATATGCATATTGTTCGTTGAGAGTAGGCGTGCTGTACTGGGTGAGCGCGGCAAATCAATCGATCAGGTTGTAAGTCTCTTCAGCTGAGCAGGCTTGGATACGTGTTACACATGTCGTTGGTGTACAATGTTAACTGAAATAGGATTTACTTAGAAGGCTCTGAGTGGTCAGATCAAGATGTGGTGTCAGTCTATAAAGTCTCTGAATGTTGGTTTGGACCGTGGTAGAGAGGTGTAGACTATTTGACTGAACTCCTCTGGAGGGGATAGAAATCAGTGGTTGGAAACTCTTCATGATATGGGTCAAATGCAATTGTATACACTCTTTGTCATCTTCCATGGCTTTAAAATGTAGTGGATCTCCGTCTATCTATTCTATCTTCTCTCATACACTTTTACTCACCTTAAAATCAATCTTTTTTCATCATTCTTCTTCGTTGCATGCTTCTTTGAAGTCTAACAACTTGAATTGATTCAATTTTATGTGGTCTTCTACCTTGATTTTCCCCGCCCAAATCGAAATCAATGGGTTAATAAACCTTGGAGAAAAGCGAGATGTCATGTCATAAGGTCAAAAGCATTGTAACCACGGTATGGTCAAGTTGACTAACCACTGTCACTTTTTGTATGCAGAGTTCATGTTGAAATCGAGAAAAAGCTAGTCATCCTTTAGCGCTGGTTCGATATTTTTTTTAACGAATGCACAAATTTACGGAAATTGGTTTTACTAGGATTTATCCTAAAGGTAAACTTGTTCCTCCATACACAACTAATACTGCCTTTCTTCCGTTGAAAGTGGGCCAGTACTTGTTTGAAGTCATATTAAATTGCATCTATACAATTCAGACGACAGCATATTGGAAGAATAAAAAGACTGAACTCTAGAAATTGTGGTGAATATTTATAACAGGTTTTAGATGTTCACAGTGACTTGTTCTCTGGGCCTAGACATTTTGGTTAGCAAACGTTTCAATCTCATACTAGACATCGTCATCAGTGCTGCACAGCCTCACTTCCTTGGGAAGTATATCACTGAAATGTTTTGTCAACTAATACCCTAGTTCAGAGAACTCACTGTGAATAAATTGAATTCTATTCTAGCTACTGTGAGCCTATTGTCTGAAAAGTTTTCGACTAGAAAAGTGTTCTCAATTGTTTAGAAGTTCTGTAACTTAAAATTCTACTGATTCAAGTGAAACATAACACGGATAATGATGATTATCTTTGAAATAATAATCGATAGGCAAGTAAACCAATTAGATTACTGTGTTTCACAGAATCAGTTGCAATCAAACAATTTCAAATTGACCTCTGTGTGTAGAACACGAGACAATGGTTAGTTAATATGACCTTATCCCAGCAACAACATGATTGCCTTATGACATGAAACCTTTTTTCCCCTCCGATGCTTATATTCACACGTAAGACTTATCAATTTACTGTTATCATACTACTCGGTAAAACTCTAGAATCTTCACTTCTCACTACGTATAAATAGACATTCTATCCTGGTGTCACTTGTAGGATTGTGGTTATAACCATTGACAGCATTCCTGTCTCAACAAACATCATCAATTTCCATATTCATTCTACTCAACAGAAATGTCTCTTCATTGTATATATGTATAATTAGGCTGTGAGTAGGTGAGGAGACGTGTCAAAATCAAATGAGCTTATTTTATTCTACGAGTGTGGTTCTTCTTGGTGTATGATGAAGATGATTGAGGGGAAGTACTTCAAAATGAAATTCATGTTAGTAGAATGCTCGGTGTTGAAACGATGAAAATGGACAGATTTATCTTCAGTGTTTGAACTGTTAAATGGACCTCCTAGGATTCACACGTTTACATCTGAAAAACCTCTCATCAGTATGGTTATGTGGTTTGCACTGACAAAGAAAGCGTTTTTCTTACATAATCGCATTTTTATCATTTCATTATGTGGAATATAGGATGTCTCACAACCATCTTTGTCAGTGCAAGTTTACAAACTTTTCACCCTAATGAATTTTTAAATACCTAAATAACATCTCATTTTCCGCTGTATGTTACTGTATAGGGTGGACAACTGCGCATTTTATTCATCCTCTGATAGGTATTCGTGTATCTGAAATAGGAAATATGAAAGATGAGCTTATATGGGCATCATTATCAGGAGGAAAATTGTGAATTTCCCTTTTTACTATTTGAAAGTTTATAAATATTCATGTTTTTCAAGCCATAACTTTGAAAGGTTTAGTTCAATTCCATTCTTGCCTTGGTGTGTTTAGGTAATACTCAAGCTGTGTAAAACGAATTTCAAGGTGGTATTCATCAACATGAACCGACATGTCAGTTAGAGAACCTTTGGAAACCCTGAACCACTGAAGTGTTGTTTTGTCATTGCATGGGACTCATTTGTAGTGCACACCCATGACCCCGCCAGCGATCGAACCCGGAACCCTTAAGTCTTACGGTAGGGATATTGACATCCAGCCACTTACTCGGAATTCAATGTCCCACATCATCCTCCTTCTGTCGATTTGCGGTGCCACACTACCATCATCCATCTATGGCATGCTTCGACATGTATTTCTCGAACTTCTAATGAGAAACCTTTACCTTTCGGGACGACCAAGTTGAGTGTGAGACCAAATGACCACCGATTATGGTTATGCTATATCGTGGATTGATAGAAGTAGGAAACTGTAAACTATTAAACTCCGACTCAGTGGCTCAATAGTAACATTTTTGCCACGATACCTGAAGGTTCTGGGTCCGATCCTTGTAGGGGTTATACATGTGCACTGTCGAGGAGTCCCATGTTAGAACAAGATAGGTGTCTATTGCTCGGTTTTCAATGGTTCACAACTGATGTCAGTTGCGATGAATACTACCTCCAAAAGCGGAACTGTTTATTAAGAGGAATACCTGTTAGAGATAGGTGAACAGATAGACAGCTGTGTACAACTCATGACATCCCATCGATCTCAGTATTGTTACCTATCCTGATAACAAAATCTGCAGTCTCTTTCATGATTCACACATATAGTTACTTTCGGTTTGAGAGTTTCTTTCCTCTTATGCGTATCTTTAGTAGTAACGCTATGTGTTGATGTAAATCATAGCTTAAGTATGCCTAACTCAGGATTGCAACCACTGAGGTTGACGAAAGTCCACAAGTTCATTGATTTATTTAACTTTTTTCACCTATATTTTTATCTATGTGAGTAAAATTAACTCGAAACTGATTACCTTTTTCTCCGTTTTGCCCTTTTTTCGTAGTTCTGATAACCATAAAATGAAACTTGTTGCACACTAAAGGATCATATATTCAATATGTTATCATAGGTATATTGAAGTATACCTCTTCTCTGCTGCAAATCATATTTCAATTGGCTCTGTAAAATAATAGGGTTGCTTTTTAAGAAATGGGCTGATTGTTGAGTAGTACTCGTTGTACAAGAGAGAGCTGTTGTGCCTCAGTAGCCGCCTATTCTATAACGCCGTGGCGTTTGAAGTGATTTTTGTGAGATGGTAGTCTCAGTGGAAACACCGTCGCATGCATGTGACGACTCCCAAATAGGTAAAACGCGCGTCAAAATAGACTCCACTGCTAGCTGGATTAGTTTTACTCATCCATCCTCATTCTGTTGGTAACATGGATATGGGCGTAGACTATTCTTGAAGTTAATGTTTCACATCTTGCAAGCGTGAAGTGATGTGGTTAACAAGAATGTGAAGAGAAGATGTAATGCAGTCATTTCAAACTGACTACAAGATATTTCCTTCGGTCATCAACGAGGCCAAATAAAACAAAAATTTAAGCTATTTACACATTCATAAAGTAATTGGTGTGATTTTAGGTGGTTGGGGTGATCTGCAGGTGACTTGGCTTAGGTTTCATGTTTTGTGGCATTCATTGACAAGGTATACTTGCAACCCTTAGGGAGGTGAGTCCATGCCAGGAAGTGTTGTAACCAGAGATGCTACCATTGAACTGGTATGAATCCAAATATCTGAAGAGGCATAAGTTTCCTTGAATTTGCAGACACACTGCTGGCAGTCGCCAACAAGCGTGAAATCTAGGTCAAATTGATTACTGTCAGTTGTCTGACATCAATTGCCGTGCACCACAGTGGTGCATCGTTTGGTCTGTTAACCATTGGGCCACTTCTTTTGTGTAAGGACTAATGATACATACTATCTGACTGTCCAAACTTTAGTAGGTGGAGTGAGATTAGAACCCATACCCTTCTGGTGAGAAGTTGAATGCCTAGACCTATGAGCGACGATTCCAAGTTGAACTTCACCAACTTGTAGGACGAGTATTTTATGAGTAAGATTAGTTTTGTGTTTTTTTCAGAAAATTATTTTGGGTTTAATTAGCAATTGTATTGTATAGTGTAATGTATTATTACATAACATATTTTGAATAAACTTATTACATATATGCTTGTCCTATGCATCTATATGAAAGGCTGTAAACAGAGATAAACCAATTGAATGAAGCGCTGAATAACATGTCTTTGACATTTGTAGACAAGGGAGACAGCTGCTTGTCTTTCTTAGACATACTGACCAATCGATGGCAACATGGATCTGTAAAACGATTTGTAAACAGGAAATCTACATGGTGGATAGGGTAGTAATTGAATTATCATAGTTTCTGTATATTTATTCAATAGAATCCAACGAATATGCATATATGATACTTTGAACAATAAGAAAAGCATGTTGACTGTAATGCTGCTGGAATATAACCAAATGTTAAAATTTGTTAGTCGGTATTGGTCATATTGACTCGAAGACAGAAACCATCAAGCTTACATGCATAAATGACTCTCGTAGCAAAACTTCTAAGCAAACGCTGAACGCTGCCGTCAAAAGGACATACGATACACCTAGAATCAAGGTAATCTGAATCAATAAGGCTGCGTACTCTTCGAAACGCCTAGAACAATATGAATGATAATATCACATGCCACTTTAAATGTATGTTTGGTGATACCTGCGTAGAGAGGACTTTTGGTTCCCTGCAAATACGGGCCTCGAAGTTTATTCCAAGGCGACTTTAATGCAAATGGAATCCACTGACCCCATTAATGTTAGTAACAGAAGTGCTAGCTCTTCGATTCTGAAAGATGTCATTGAAGCAGGTTACAGGGTTGCTGTTTCTACATCCTACAGACCTATCATAGATAAGGCTTTGGCGTTTGAAGCGATGGGTACTGGTTCTGAGTTTCAGTGGGAAAAACATCATTCACTGAGGTTCAGGCGTATCCAGCTGACGAGTCCTAGGGAGGACGAAACGCACATCCTGTACTCCACTGCCAGCCATCAAGATGAATACAAGACCTATTATTTTTTGTCTTTTTCTAGCTATCCCACCTCACCTCCTTCCATATGTTAACCGTTTCACATAAAAATACACATGAAAGTGCTTATTCGACCAGATTGTTCAAAATGTGTTGCGCAATGCTAAATTACACCATTTAGACAGACTACGTCTTTTTGTTATTTTGTCGTAATTTCTTCTTATTTTTTATTCTTATCATCAAGGTTTGACACTTTTTAACGTCAGATGATCAGTCGAAATACCCATGTAGATAGTTACAACGTAATAACAAAGACTGTCAATGAAACTTCAGGTCATCAAGATAAACCTTTAAGTAATATGTGAAGGACTTCTCATAGCTCACTTATTTTTGAAGTTTAGTTCTGATGATGTTATCTAGAATAATAACTTAAGCATCGGGAAAATGAACCTTCCGAGCTACAAATGTTCTGCACTATCTCGAAATACTTGATTTGGCATATCAAGTGTGCGTGGGCATAACTTAAATTGGCCAGTAATTTTTGTATGAATGTCTATATGTCTGGCTAAGTCGACTAATTTCTATTGGTTGATTTATGTAGCATTTTCAAATTGCTGTTCTTTCTTTTTTTTTCTGTAATGAACCTGTGGCAGGAGAAATTTTTCAGGTCACACTCATCTCTTGTCCTTTAACTTTCTCCATTTAAAAGCTATTGTTTGATGTTTGTAGCTTCCTGTTGGTATACTGGATCGAATTGCTTGACTTCTATTGGTAGATGGGCTCATATGCGAACGCCTCGATACTGCCCGAATATTCCCTCTGTTGTAGTCTACTTGGTGGCTAGCAATGGGATCCGGAACATGCGTTTCGTTCCACCTAGGACTCATCAACTGAATATGTCTGCTCCCTAGTGAGTGGTATTTTTCCAACTGAGACTGGAACGCAGTAACCATGGCTCAGTTGTCGACGAAATCTCTGCACAGATACAAAAGGCCCATTTGGCTTTTGCCAACTTACGCCATCTATGGTGCTACCTCGATATCTGATTGTCGATTAAGGGTCGAATGTACCGTGCTTCAGTCCGCTCTGTTTCACCCTATGGGTGTGAAATATGGTCACTGAAGGTAGAAGTCATGAAAAGGCTTCAGATATTTGATCATCACCACCTTCGTAGGATAGGTCATGTTCCGTGGCATCACCACGTGAGTAACTCAGAAGTCAGGTGTAGAGTTTTAGGGAGTAGAGGTAAGACAGTTGACACGGTTGTGAACCTTGATCGACTGAGATGGTTGGGACACGTGTTACGTATGCCTAGCCACCGTCTGCCTGGTCACACAATGTTGGCCGAAGTAGGTTCAGACTGGAAAAAGGCCCTAGGTAGCCAGACTGAAATATGGCATCAATGTATGAAGTCTTTGACTGTTGGTTTGAGCCATGTGAGGCGATTCAGCTTAGCCGGTCGGGGTCTTTGGGATAGAAGAAACCATTAATTATAGACTCTAGGTTATCACATGACTCAGAACCGATGTCAGTGACACAGATGTATACATACATTATCCTCATCCTAACCATTATACTTAATCTCATCATTTCCTCATACCTCTTTCCTCTCCTTAGCTACTTTCTACCTCTTTTGACCGATTTTTCTTTTTTTTTTTCATGTTTCATTTAATTGCCTTTTTACTTGTTGCTCTGATATTAGGTTTGGCAACTTGGACCGTTGCTCAGTAATGCCTGGTCTCATGTTGATTTTGATGATTATCTGTCAGTGAACAGAAAACCAGTTTGTTTTTCAATTTTTCTCTCAACCGTTCGAAAACAAAATGAAATTCTTGATAACTGATATTAAATTTAAGTCTGAACAGCAAAGTGTTCGTACAAATCAGTCAGTAGATAGGTAAGTTGATGGTTCGAATCCATCACGGCACACTAAGTTTATTTTTCGGCCAATATCTACCTCAGTTACTCAGACCAACAATAGTACTAGTGGTAGTATTCAACACGGACTGACATCAGTTGGAGAACCACTGAAGACCTAGGAGCATTGGGAAACCGTTTCTTCCTAGTATAGGGGTCTTCAGTAGTACGCACCCACGACCCAGCCAGGGATCGAACTCAGTACCTTCAGGTATCACGGTGAACACGTTAACCATTCAGCCGCTTTGAGTTCAATGGTTCACAGTATTAGTCAGTTGTTATTGTTATAATCACTAGTGGTTTGCATTTCGGGGGCTATATATATATACCTATTTGTTAGGTGTTTTGATTCTATTAGACTGTAAGTTGAAATCGAATTTGTGTATTAACTTCTTTCTGTCTTTCATATTTAATCATAAACATTTGATCAGTTTTTAAAAATAAAAGTTGAAGAGATGGTAAGTAATTGGCATCTTTTTCATATACTGTCTATAGAAATTCCATGCGATACCGTATCCGTGATATATAACTGTACATACATAGTGTATTAAACGTGTCACTATCACTGGGAGGGGGGCACTCAGTTCATCATACAGTTCAATTTTCATACGTTAGTACTGGAAGCCGGACATGTTCTCTTCTCAAATACTGTGACTGATAATTGAAGAAATAAGTATTGCTCAATTGAATGTGTGTGTATACTGATGTAATTTTGAATGAGTTCTGTTTATTTACTTACTTATTTTGCTTGTAAACTAGTTGTCTGCTTTCTTCTTACACTCTTTTTTGTCGTCATCGTCACCTGTATCCAGTTGGACACATACACGTTGGCTACATCCAGATTCATCTATTTTGCGTAGTTTTCTGCTTAGTCAACTGATCTTGGTCTGGCAGTTGGCTGAATTGAATTCATTCTTTCTAAAGCATATATTTATTGTTAAACCTGGTCATATACTGACACAATCACGCCTACTTTTGATTACACTTATTTCTGCACCAGCGATAAGGTAAGCGGTTCTTTAACTCTTCATTTTTCGACTCTTTCTCTCAATATGTGTGTTTGCAACTGAAAGGTCAACTCAGGACCCCTGGTACTGATGTGCATTAGTCCAAGTTATCACATTTCACGGTAGCATGGAAACGAGAAATGGAGAGGAAGAAAATGACTAGAAGGTATTAAAAGAGGGAGAGTGAGAGTAAATGACCGACTTTTAAGCCATATCAGCAAGAGTTTGCGATCATCGATTCCTGTCGTCTCGAGAAACCTCAGCCAGACAGCTAAAACCTTGTTGTATGTTTTGGAAGAACAGTCAAACTTCGTGGACTGGTGCCATGTCTTGGTCTACTCAGCCTTAAGCTTTTTCAACCTCATCTTATTTTGGCTGGCATCGCATGCCAAGGTAGGCTGTGATGTGGCATGCATACACATGTCTATGCCCTCTCAGTCGGTGAAAGTTCGTAGCTTTCTAGTTTACTTCCTATATGTATGTGTGTGTGCGTCAAAGTTGCTTCGATATCACACTACATTTGTCTTCTGCAACTATCGTCCTAACAACAAAATCATAAACTTCTTCCACTTGGGCTTCATTTGAATAATTTAAATCTAGATGCCATCATAATGATTCCAGCGCATATATGCCGTCGGAAGTTTACCATTATCATTATTATTACTGTCGTTATTATTATTAGAACACAAATGTTGTACAGCAAAGGTGCCAAGAAATGCGCTACACAAATAATATGCCAACATTATGAAGACGTAATCAAAGAGACGTGGATAAAAATAAAACACAACACGAATAGAATGCTTAGAAGGGCAGTTGAGTAAGGTATATTCGAAACAAAACATTCATTACTTTTCAGCGGCAAAGGATAGGAGGAAGCTACAGCATGACCGCCTCTGGTTTCGAATCCGAGCCATATGTGTTAACATCTCAACCCACTGAGTTACTTGACCTCTCGGACCCCAACCCACGCAGGAGTCGTGATGCACCAACAGATGCTAACCCGAGACAACTGTCCTGCATCCCATGGTACCACGTCGTACACTGACCATCCCTCTACTCCTTCTATTCAGTCCCAGAGTTAGCAAACAATAGACGGCGTATAAGCCAATGGGACGACGTGTGTAGCACACGTCCAAACCACTGAAGCCGGTGTTTCCAGATCACTTCACTTATTGAATGACGATCTCCATCATGCCCGAATACGTACTGTCATACCTCAGGATTACTTACATGGTATTGCCACCGGATACGAGCAATCCTACGGTGACGACGATGATTGAATCCACAGAGTCGTCGCATATCCTCAGCTTGGGGAGGCCAGGTTTCACAGGCGTTATGATGCTAGGTGTTAGGAGTCAATCGGAAAGAAGCCTTGCTAGCATCCATCAGCAACGTGTCATTTGAAGCGAGTAACTTAATTGGCGTCACTCACAGGGAAGAATTAAGAAAATTTGCCATTAAGCTATTCAAATCGTTAAGGAACCATTGTACACAAAATTTCCAACTATGGGTAGTCGATTCAGCTGTGAGACGCGGCCGTTAAAACTGGAAGATATGCGGAGACTTCAAGTTTCTGAGCACGTATCTTTCTAGCATTGCTTACGTATATTAGAGTCCCTAGGTTAGTCATGTTGAGATCAGATGAAAGGCACTAGGCAATAAAGGCAAGTTAGTCAATGAGGCTATGAACCTTTATCGACTAAGGTAACTTGGATATGTGCTGCGCATGCCGAGCCATCGCCTACCTCGACATGCCACGCTGTGGGAAGCTGGATTACTTTGGAAAAGGCCTCAGGGTGACCAGATGGAGACGTGACACCAGTCGATGAAGTGTATGACTGTTGATCTGAGCCGTGTATAGAGGTGCAGATTATTTAATTGGGATCATCGAAACAATGTGAATTATGGCAATTCGAAGTGATGCACTTGTGTTCAAGGTTCTAAGTTGGTTTTCCCTCTCTGTCTAATTTAGCCGTCTCCATTCCATACATACACTATTTGGTAAGGTTATTTATTAAGTTACTTTCTAGGTGGTAGAAGCTCATTTGATAACTTTTACACGGATGTATACTGACAGTTCCACATGGAGCTGTGACTTATTAGTCATGTGAGCCGATTTTCAACTAATATGTCATGAGTTCACTTTCCACTCCATCCATCTCATTTTCACCAGCCAAGTAGAGGCATCATATATATATATATATATATATATATCGGAGGTGTGCTTTACGTTTGGCTTAAGAAATGGTTAGTAATATATAAGATAACGATCGCAACCCAAGTGGGCCGCAGAACTTCGAATTGCTAGGTGAAATAGGACCATTTTAAACTTTGAAAAGCGATCGGTCCTGAGTCCGAGTTTTAGTAGGGAAAACATCAGTCACTCAGAGCCTGCAGGTTTGTTCAGCTGACGAATCCCGGCTAGGATGAAGCGTACGTTCTAGATTTCGCCGGTAGTCACTATCCATCACTACCACAACAAGAGATTATATCTAAAGTTTCACTTTGAAATACTGTTTAGTATATTATGGATATAACAGTTTTCCGAATTTGCTCCACATTGTTGTATAAAAATGGACTGTCAGATGTGAGTGGTGTCGAAAACACATCGTTTGGATGATCATCCCACTTTTCTTTTGTTTTTTTGGAGTGAAAATCATGAAAGCATCGGATGGAATTCACTACTGATTTAGAGTGAGTGAATCGCTTGATGTTATTCGTTTTCTACCATTTAGAGACTTTTCTTATATTGTACACCATGTCTCCTTTATTGAAAGATAAGAAACTTTTAACCTTATCATTTCCTCAGTGTCTCATAGCTAACTATAAAGCATGACCTTAGAGAATAGTCTGAGAACATCATCGTCTAAAGTCTTTGAAAGGTTCCACACTTTTTCTTTATCTTTACCCAGTACCACTCTTTCATTTGCGTACTCTAGGTTGGTTAAATACTTTCTGGGTAACTAGTCAACTTCTGAAATGTTCGAATTAAGTAGAATGCTGTCCACCGATATACCTGTCATAAAATTGAACCGGAAGGATGACTGAGTCTTCGGCTAACATCACTGACTGTTGTAATATAACGTGACAGTTGTCTACAAACCTTCATATTAACAACGCGAGTTTGAGTTGATGATCTTTATAAGTGTGATATACTGTCCTGATATTCATCTTACAGTCAAACCCTGAAAATAATTCTCAATCGATGCATTAGAATGCCACCTTTAGGTTTAAAAAATGCAACAGGTATTGGTTATCTTGCCGTATCGACATACGTGGCATATCAGATATGCCTCAACTTAATTCTCATAAAGCGCTTCCTATGAGCTCCATCTCTCTGCTTGAAAACTACATTCTACATTGACTTTACCAAAAATCTTGTGTCAACAGCATTTGACCTTATTGAAGTTGGTGTTGTATCAAATGAGAGATCTATTGATCCACTAGTTGATTGGGTCTTTTCTAACAGTTCTATACTTACAGTTAAGCTTGAAGTTTCGGTTACGGTAAGTAGTAAATGGCTTGAGAAAAGATATATTTTCTTCATCTTTGCTTCTTTCTTTTGAACTGCAATCTGAATACATTTTATCACCAATTGAGTGGCCTCAATCAAGTGTTCTTGAGAGATATCATAGTGTTAACTGGGGACTTGAATGTTCAAGTTGGGTATCTGGATTCAGAAGAGAGTCATCTAGAAGTTTTATTAGGACTAGATTATCGAAGGTCAGATAATTGGATTGATTGGCTTGTATAACTGTGCTCAAATCATAACCTTTTCGTAGCCAACACTAACTTCTGGTGTAGTCATCTTCGGTGAGCAACTTGACCATCTTTCATCTCTTATCTTATATGAACTTAAACAGATCATGTTGCAATTAGCTACTGATGTTTTGAATGTTTTATGAACTACCGCTACTTGTGATGTATCTGTTAGGATTCTGACCATATCTGGCATGTCCTAAGTTAATCTTGCGTGTTAGCAGTAGAAAATTCTCGTTCTTAACAGATCGATTATGTCTAATTTTCCATCAGATCAATTTTACTGATCCTTCAGAAATTGTACACGAGCATTGGATGTACTTACAGAATTCAATGTTTATGGGTCAGTATGGCCACTTTGGCCTGTTAGAAGATTGGTTTTATGAATACTATACTGTGGTAGCTTCTTACAATCTCTTAGCATCCATCAGTCCATTCTGGTAAATAGCGAGTACAGTGGTGTCTAGGATATTGTAAAATGCTTACATGAGCACAGTGAAACTTAGTGGTCCCAATACACTAGTAAAATTGAAACAGAACCATCTGGCGACAGTTTGGAGTTAATCCAGATTATTTGAGCCATCAGCAGCAAGACGTCTGGTGTTAGTTAAACCATCTTTGAGGGATATTTATGTGGATCAAAAACCTTCAAAGTCTTCAAAAATAATTAAGCTGAACATCTCTAAAAATAATTAAACTGGTTCGTTTTATGAGCCACCTTTAGTGCACTTCATTCGATGACTGGTTGAAACTGATGAACCCAACGAAATGGGATATTTACGAATACTGTAAAGAATTTAAAGCAGTTGATCAACTCCTGAGTGTTTTTAGGCCTGTTGAACTTAATGTCTAAGTTTCTAGGATCTGTAATTATCAGGCGTCTTAATGAAACTGAGAAATAATACACCCGAGAAAACCAGGCAGGTTTAAAACCTAGTCGCGAGTGTATCGACCAGGCATTCACTCTCTTCCATCAGGTCTTGGAACACAAGCACATTTGCTAGCGCCCAATACTAGCTGTATTTTCGACATCAGACATCTGCTGACTCCGTGGATTAGAAGGTCTTACGGTGATTGGCATCTTTCACTGAAAGAGGTACAGAGTAAATAAATCAGTCTGTTGACGGCTTTATCCTCGAAGAAGTGTGAGCCTATCTTGAGTTGTCAAGTGGGTTGTGTACATCGAATGGTATCCGTCAAGGATGTTCTCTATTTCTATCCTCTTTCAACTTTATCACAGACGTACTTATGAAGGTCTCCTTGTCGTCGTTTGACTTCACAGAAATTGATCTCATCACATTAGAGTTTTTAGTAAATGCAGAGTCCTCAGACGACATGATCCTACTAGGTAAAGATTCTGACAAGATTTAGAGTCTCTTGAACCCATGGAGTGATAATTTGAGAATATTTTGAATGAGTTTCTCACTAGCGGTGTAAAAATTGCTGTTCCAGAACTTGTCTACGTTGCTGCCTCGTCTGGGATTAGGGAGTAAAGTAGTTGAGTGCGTTGATCACCACCTACTAAGGAAATAGAATCAGGCCAGCTGGGTCAGTAACGGATACAAAAAAGCTGGCTTGACGTTTTCCAACTTATGATAACGGAATGATATCCGGTTGCCCATTAAGTGTTGATTGTATTGCACTGTACTTCGCTTTGTTCTGCTATATGGCTGTGAAACATGACCATAAAAGCTAGAGGAAATGAGAAGGCTTCAGATGTTTTACCACCGTTTCCTTCGTAGTACTGAGCGTATGTCCCAGCACCACCATGTCAATAATGCTGGAGTCAGGCGTAGAGTTTTAGGCAGATGAGGAAAGTCAGTTGATCAATTCGTCAGCATTCATTGACTTAGATGGCTAAAGCATGTGTTGTTCATGTCTAGTCACCGTCTGCCGTCTACTGGATTTAGTTAAAGGCTCCCTAGACTAAAGCATTCCATCAGTTCACGAGTTCATAGACTGTTGGTCTGGTCTCTTGAGGAAGATGTAGACACTTCGCTGTTGGTGTCCGGATGACAACAGTAACCGGTGGTTACAATCTGTGTATGACGTGGCTAAAAATCGACCTTGATTTCGCAGATGCATTCACACATTACCTTCGTTCTAGTCGTTATACTAAGCTTCGTTATTGCCTCATTTCGTCTTGCTCTATTCTTCCTACTTTTTACTCTAAATATATTTGTAATGAAATATCAAAACTAAATAACAACATTATGTGTAACCATTCATTACAAATATTTTCGCAATAAATTGATTCTCTTCACAGTGCACAAACTTTTCATGCATATAACTTCCTACTTTCTACTACTTCTGACTACTCTGTTTCTTAGTGCTGAATCTTTGATCTTGATGTGCTGATATGAGGTTTGACAACTTAGACCGTTACTCAGTAACACCTGGTCTCAAGTTGGTTTTGAGTAACTGTAACTGACAGGAGTATTCTTCTCCAATGCACTACACGAGCGACTGGACTATGATTACTTGAATTCACCATTCTTCGTTAGCTTTGTCATTAATGTGTCATTCTTTGTGTTACTCTGCATGCTGGCGTGTATTGTTACGTAAATGATATCGCCTTTCAATACTTAATGATAATAATAGCTTTATTCTAAACAAGACTTGTGGTACAGGACGGGATCCTCACCAAATTCATTCCCTTGATAATATCTTCAGGCGAAGTAATCATGGCATTTGAATAATGTTAATAGTAACAGCCACAATATGAAACAGGTACTTAGTATTATTATTATATTAGTGTTTGGTTTGAACTGGTGAATGAACAGAATGTCGAACGTAATTTTGGTGCTGGTAGTTTATTCGGCCGGTACCAAAATCTGGAAGTCGACATAGTTATCCAAGGAATAGTAGTATATTGTATTTCTGTGCATTTATAAGCCCATCTCTTACCGGTTGAAACCATTTTTAGAGTTCACAAGAGTCCTAGAGGCGTTTAGAAGAAAACGTATCTAAAAGACTACAATAAATTGAAAAGGATGAATTTGATGAAATAAATTCCACGGAAAATTTTTGGTAGCCCAAAGTTTAAGCAGGCCTCAAGATCATGCCGAAAAAAGTTTGATTAGTTGGTGATCAGTGTCCACCAATATATGATTTGCTTTGGGAAATCTAACTAGGAGGTATATTCTACACCATTGGCAAAGACTTTTGCCTACATTCATTCTTGTAGTGTTGATGGAAATGGGTTAGATAAGATAAATGTTTGTATGGAAAGCTCTAGATCGAAATATGTCAATTTGGATTACCTCTGGTGATGTCACTCTTGTAGTTTCAAAAATCGCCCCTAACACCTTGTTTTTTCTTTCCTGTGGTTTTCTGTACTCTCTCCCTCTCTTTTGTGCTCTACTGTTGCCTTGTATCATCCTATTTGGAACTTGTCAACCGAATTTCATCATCATTGTCATCAAGGTCAACATAGTACCAAGCATTAGTGCGTAACGGTTCAGGTTGCGACCCTTTCAAATCCGCAGCACAAGCAAGAAAGTAGTAGGATGAAGAAAAAAAGAAAAATCAAAGGCCGTAGAATGCAGTAAAAGAGAGGAAGGAGGAATGAGATTTAGGGGGGCCGCTCAACTGAATGTATCTTTATCCCAGTGACTATTAGTGTTCCCAGCACCCATTACTCCAAACGCCAAAACGTTATCTACCAGGCAACTTCTGATTTCCGACATCCTATTTCTTGTGTTATTTCATTTGTTTGTGTGAACTTTGGTAAGGTGAACCGGCACAATTTCAGGTACGAATTCATCATGGATTCACATCAGCGGGAGAAATGTTGAAAATCTGGGAGGACTGAACAGTGATTTCGTAATAATATGAGGCTCCTTAGGAGTAGCCACCTATGACCCCGCCGCGACAAGGATCGAATCCAGGACCTTCAGGCTCCGCAGCCCGCACGTCACCATTGAGCCACTTAGTCCGATGATTCATAATTTCTACTTCTATCAGTTCTTGATAAAGCTCAAATTCCGTCACTGAGTAACTGTTCTCATGTTCGACTTGGTTGGCCCACCAGTCAGTCCATAATGAATATCAACTTGAAATCAATAAATCCTCACAAATTCCCAAACTGAACTAATCTAGTGTTCATTGTTGACTAGCTTCGAGAGATAATTCTCGATGTCCCAATGATAAGTCGTTACCTATGGGGAAACCAAGTTGAACATGAGGATAGTTACTGAACGACAGCATTGGATGGAGGTTGCGCTGTATTGTGAACTGAGAGAGGTAAGAAATATGGATCATTGGATTCCGACCAAGTGGCTCGATGGTAACGTCCTGGCCGCGGATCCTGAAGGTCCTGGATTCGAGGAAAAGTTCCGTACTAGGACGAGATAGCTATCCAGTGCCCTCAGGTTTCCAGCTTTTCTCCCACTGGTGACAATCCATGATAGACTTCCAACTTCCAATCAATAAGTCCTCATAAACCCCAAAATTGTTGTATAATGATTCCTTGTTTTATGTATTAATCGTTTGACAACTATGTGTAAACAATCAATCAATCTATCAATATCAACATAAGACCAGGCATTACTGCGTAACGGTCCGAGTTGCCACAGCTCATATCAGTACATCAAGTAGAAAGGTAGTGAGGTGAGGGGTGAAGATAAGTGAATGCAGAAATATAAAGTACGAGAAGAAAGAAAAGATGAGTGACAAAATGGTGAGATTCAGTATAGCGTCGTTAAAATGAGGATAATGTGTGTACACATCTGCACCACTGACATCGGTTCTGAGCCATGTGTGAACTGTGTTCATTAATTAGTATGTATATTTGTATGTCTCTTTTTGTTACTTTTTTTCTATCGTTTACGTAGACAATACTACTTATATGTAATTGATCCACATATAAAACGTGTTGGATCTCAACTTTGGCTTTTCATGTAAGTTTTTCGAATCGACATTTTTATTTCAATTATTAATAATGATATGCTATAGTTATTTATGATTATTTCTTGTTGTAATTGTAACGCAGTACAAAGCTGTAAATTTTTACAATTTTTTATTCGGTCTGTCATATAAAGTATAAGCAAGTCATTGTGTCTGAAATCAGGTATTTAAGTGAAGTGAGAATTATGCTGATACTTTATAGACCATGGGAATCAGTGGTTGAGGACTTCTGGTTACATGGTGCAGATGTATTCACTCCTTGACATCTAAAGCTTAGATATTCCCACTATTCGTTATCTTCAAATTGTTTATTCTCACGCAACTTTGTCTACTTTGATATCATTCCTTTTCTATCTACCACTTCTTTGTGTACTTCTGTGAGGTTTGGCGATTTGAGCCGATGAACTTGTGTGCGAGATTCTACGTTAATTTTGTCTGTCTGTCATGTATACTGAGTACTTATTATACTATAGGTCACACAGTATGTAAGAACGTATTGTAATGTTAGTTAGTTGGAGACAGTTGACGAAAAGTCCTACCTAACTTAACTTTTATGGTTTTCGTGCTCACTACCAAAGCGTATTTATAACCTCAAGGGAAATGATTTCTATGCAGAGATCGAAACTGACGTCACTGATTACTAAAGTCGTAGACCTCTGTTATCATATTATTGAGTCCTGAATAGAACGAAACACGTGTCTTGGACTCTATCACTATCCGCCACCAAGTGATTAACACTAAAATAAAACCTCAGGCAATATAGAGATATGTGTTCAGGGAGTTATATATATATATATATATATATATATATATATATATATATATATAATAGCGGTAATGAAAGTAGGAATGACAATAGGATTTGCAATTATGATTGTAATAATGATAACAGTAAGAGTAATGGCAATAATAACAATAATAGGGATAATAATAATGGGAATGACAATAATAACGGTAGTAACAACAAAAATAGCTCTAAGAATAATAATAATAAGGACAGTTATAACAACAGGAATAATAATAATAATAATACAGTAGTGATAATAATAGGGACAATAACAACGGTAATGATCGGAATAATAATAAGTATGATGAAGGTATTTTCAAGTTATTTGCTGCCATAAATTTACACTTTAGAATTATGCGGCCAAATCATATATATATATATATATATATATATATATATATATATATATATATATATATATATATATATATATATATATATGATTTGGCCGCATAATTCTAAAGTGTAAATTTATGGCAGCAAATAACTTGAAAATACCTTCATCATACTTATTATTATTCCGATCATTACCGTTGTTATTGTCCCTATTATTATCACTACTGTATTATTATTATTATTATTCCTGTTGTTATAACTGTCCTTATTATTATTATTCTTAGAGCTATTTTTGTTGTTACTACCGTTATTATTGTCATTCCCATTATTATTATCCCTATTATTGTTATTATTGCCATTACTCTTACTGTTATCATTATTACAATCATAATTGCAAATCCTATTGTCATTCCTACTTTCATTACCGCTATTATTATTATTACTCTTATTATTACTGTCATTATTATCATCCCCGTTATTATTATTGTCATTACATTGTTACTCTTCCTACCATTATTATTCCAATTATTATTATCATCATTCTTATTATTCTTACGATTGCTATTATTATGCCTATTATCGTTATCGTCCTTGTTATTATTATTTCTATTATTATTATTACTATGCCTGTTATCATTATTCTTGTTATCAACATTCCCATCATTATTACTAATCCCGTCGTTATCGCCATTCGTACTATTATTGTTACTATTCCCATCATTATTATTGATATCATTATATTTCTAGTCATTACTATTATTCCTATTGTTACTAGTCCTATTAACATTATTATTCCTACCATTACTATCATTATCACTCCTTCCGTTGGTATTATTGTCCCATTGTTATTACGATTCTTATCATTGCTGTTATATTCCTATCACTATTGCCATTACTATTATTATTCCTGTTGTTATCAATACAATTCTTATTTTTATTATTCCCATTGTTATCATTATTATCATTCCGACCATTATTGCTATCCGTATTTATCTTATTAATCCTATCACTGTCGCTATCCCTATCATTATTATTCCTATTATAATTATCATTCCTGTTATTCCTATTCCTGTTACTAACATTCCCATCATTATACTCACTTCTGTTTTTATTGTTATCTCATTCTTATTATTCCTATTATTACTACTATTATTATTATCATTGTTCCTATCGTTATTGTCATTCGTATTATGATCATTCCTATTATCACTATTATTTCTCTGATTATCACTGCCATTATTATCATTCCCATCATTATTATTACTGACCCCATTGTTATGATGACTACCATCCCTATTGTTATCACTACTGTTATTATTATGTCTATTATTGTCGTTGCTTTCATTATTGCCATCTTTGTTATTTCTATTATTATCATTCCTATCATTATGATCATCCTCATTATCATTATTATAACTATTGATACTGCCATTTTTATCATTACTGCGCCCATTATCGTCCTTATTATTCCTGTTACGACCATTATCATTCCTGTTATTTTTATTACTCCTAGTATTCTTAGTGCTATCATAATTTTTCTCCCCATTATCACTGTTTTTATTCTTATTACTATTATTTCCATTTATATTATTCATACTGGTTTTGCTATTTTTACTATTATAACGCCATCATTATTTCTATCGCTTTTATGCCCTTTATTATTACTAACCCTATTATCGTTATTTTTCCTATCATCATTATTCCCACTATTCCCATAACCATTACTATTTCTGCTATCATTATTGTTTCTGTTATGATCATTCCTATTGTTAGTAATACATTATTATCATTATTGTCATCTTTATCATTCCTATTATAATTATTGTCATTTTTATGGCTGTACTCATTCCTACCATTACTGCCATTATTATTGATAATACTATAATTCCTTTCATTGTCATTATTACAATTCTTGTCATTATTATTCCCGTTATTATCATTATTTTTTTCTTATTACTTTCACTCTTGTAATTGTTATCCTCATTATGATTGTAACCATTTTCAAAAACACTACCATTAATATCAGTATTCCAACCAATATCATCATTATTCCTATTACGACTATTATCATCCGTTGTCTTTAATACTCCGAGTGGTTTTGTTGCTACTATTATCATTACCATTATTTTTATTGTTACCCCCATTATTCTTATTATTGGTGTTATTTTATTGCTATTATTCCTATTGTTGCAATTATTCCTATTACTAGTGTTATTGCTTGTATTACACCATCGTTGATTGGACCGAATTGATCAGTCTCTGTTGGCATATTACTGTTATTCCTACTGTCATTATTATTCCTATTTCTGTTATGATTATTTCCATTGCCATTATTTTATTGCTAATAGCTCTGCCATTATTCCTATTGGTATTATTATTATTGTTATTCCTGTTATCATTATCATTCCTATTATTTTTATGATTCCAGTTACTTTTAATCGTGTTATTATTCCTATTATTACTGTAATTCCCAGTATTCCTTTTCCAATTATTACTATTACTCTCATTATCACTTTTATTCCTATTATTACTGATCTTACTATCATTCCTGTTATTATTATCATGTTTTTATTTCTATTCTTGTTTCTGCCATCAATATTCGTTATTATTATCCTTATTTTTATTGCCGTTATCATTATTATCATCACTTCTATTTTTATTATTATCTCATCATTATTATTCCTATTTTTATTGCTCTTATTATTGTCGTTTCTTTTATTATTGTTATGATTATCATTACTCTTAATATTATTACTATCTTTACTATTCACTCCTAATGTTATTAGTGTGTTGTTATCAGTATTATGGTTCTAACTACTATTATTCTAACTATTATTATTATTACTCCTATCATCTTTATTCCCAATATTATTGTGACTATTAGGATCATTTCTATCATTATTGTTGCTACCACTCCTATTATCTCTATTACCAACCCTATTATTACCATTATTTCTGTGACCATTGTTTCTATTATTATCATTTTGCCCACTATTATCAACTCTATCATTGTTATTTCGATTATTAATATCACTCCTCTGATTATTATTTCCATTATTGTTTCCGTTTGTCATCATTACCACCATTTTTATTATCGCTTCTGTCTTCATTATTGTCCTTTTGTTACTATTTCTGTCATCAATATCATTCTTATTATTATTATTGTTACTCCTGCAATTTCTATTCCTGTTGTTATCATTATTCCTATTACAATCACATTCCTATTATTATTATTGCCGTTATTATTTTTATCCCACTATTATTACTCCTGTTATGATTATTCATAATATTATAACTATTACTATTACTAATATTCTTTTTATCATGCTTCCTATTATTATTATCATTATTATGTCTATCTTTATTACTACTACTGTTACTATTCTTCCCATCATTGTTATCATTATTATACTTGTTGCAGCTATTATTGCCATAATCCTAATTGTTATCATTGCTATTATTATCATCATTGTTATCATCTCTGTTATTCTTATTATTGCTACCACTATTTCTGTTATTATCATTCCTATTATTACTGTTATGCTCATTATTATTGTAAATATTGTTATCAATACTACCATTATAATTATCGTCCTCATCGTTGCCATCCCCATTATTCTTATGGCGATTATTATCATTTCCACTACTTTTTCCATCGTTTAGCCTGTTATTATTATTACTCTTGTTATTTGCACTATCATTGTCCCTATTAATATTATTATCCCGTTTCCTATGGCTGCTGTTTTTATCATTCCTTATATTATGATTCGTATTACTACTATTCTAATTATCGTCATCCATATTATTGTTGGTACTACCTTTACTATTACCGCTTCCATTTTTATTTTATCCCATTATTGTTCTTCTTCTTGTTATTATTCTAATTATTATTATTATTATTTCAACCATTGTCACTGCTCCTATTATTATGATTCATATTATTTCTATTCTTTCTCTGATTATTATTCTTCCGATTATTCCGATCATTTACATTCTAATTTTTTTACTGAATACTACTGTTACTGTTATTTTCATGATCATTATCACCATTTCTATTAATGCTATTATTATTCCTATTACTACCATTACCATTGTTGTTATATTGCTATTATTTTTCGTACTTTAATTGTTATTATTATTATTATTATTCGTATTATTGTTATTTTTACTCTTATTTATTTTATTATTATTGTAAGTGTCATTATCATTATTAATCAACTGGAGAGAACATTCGCACGGTTAAGCGGTAGAGGGGTAATCAGTCACGTTGTATTTCACGCATCATCATCACCATTTAACGTGGTGAATATGTACTTACCTATGTGATGAATAAAATTATAAAGATTTGAAGAAATACCATCTAGTTCAGTGTGTATCAAAATTTCCTAAATGCCTCCTTAAACAGTTACACCGATAAAATGCTTCAGTAATTTGAAATGATCACCTTTCTCGTATCACATCACTTTTTGAAAGCGACTAATTCTTTAAGATGTACAAACAGTATATAGCGATGTGATGATTATCGATGGTGACGTGAAAACCTAGATTCGAACCGATAGTCTCCAATTTCAGATCTCTTCTAAGTAAGATACACCACCCATTCATTAACCACCTATTAATTCCAACGTTAATCACCGATAGCTTCATCTAGTTGTCATGTGAATGAGTGATATACAGCTGCCTGTTCATCATCACTCTATAAAAAGCTGACTCACTAGGTCGTAGTTAACCAACATCATTACGGGTCAAATAAAATTTCTGTGTTTATCACTAGTTTAGTCATTTGGTTTCCAACCAGGTTTAGGTAATCACTCAAGTATCACAAGCCATAACACAATTGATATGGCTCATACACAGATGCCCATTTATTTCAACTTTTTCATATCTGTAAACGTAAATGCACCATCTACTCATATTTCTAATCTTATACCATTTCTCATTTTTTACTTTATGAATCTTTATTCTTGATTGGACCGAGTTCATCGGCCACCATTGACATACGGACTCGTTTACGGATGCCCCGATATTGCCGATATTTTCAGTTTTTATAATAATGATGGATGGTGGCTAACAGTACAATATTTGGGACTTACTCGTCAGCTGGATTCACCTGCCTCCTATTGAGTGATATTGTTTTCACGAACCCAGGATTGATCTCTCTCATCGTTAGGCCACCGACTCACGATAGGAATCTGCACAGGAACCCATTTGCCAGTAGTGACCGATCAATTCAGTTCAATCAACGATGGGAAATTGTAAGCTGTTCTATCAAAACTAAGCTAAACTCATCTTATAAGGAGTGGCTGTCGTGACTTAGTGGTTTGAAGTTTAAAGTGGCCGATCTTGGGTTTCATTTTTAATGGGAACAACACCAATCGCTGCTCATCCTGAGGAAACCTGGAGTCATATTAAGTTTACTGTAGAAACAGCAGTTAAGACATCTAGTAACCTTCCCTCGAAGGTTAGCAAACCTCATTAGATTTCTGCGATGTCATGCGAACTGACTGATGCGAAAAGACTGGTTCCGGATTGCTGGTTCTGACGACAAGGAAGATCGAAAGGAACTGAGACGTAAGTTGACCAAGAGTCTTCGCGTCGATCGCAAGCAGTGGTGGGTAGCGAAAGCGACAGAGTTGGAGAACGCATTAAGGTTGGGTAACACTTGACAACTATTTAGATGCCTTAAGGAAATCAGCAAGAAGAAGACTACAGTGAGTGAGACCGTCACCGAAAAGGATGGGACGCTCATAAAGAATCTGGATAGGTGACTAGAACGTTGGTCAAAACGCTTTAAAGCACTGTTCAACTGACTTTCAGTTACGCTTCAGTTAGCCAACATTCAACCTGAATGGGACGTAGATTTTGGCACTCCAACTCTCCTCGAAGTTAATAACGCTGTATCAAACCTGAAACGATGCAAAGCAGCAGGAACTGATAGTTTTTCTCCTGAAGTTTTCAAGGATATATTTAGGAACTTGCTGATTAAAAAGACAGGAGTACTAGGTAGTGTATGGAAATCAGACATAATGCCATCAGTATGGTGTGCTTCACTAATCATCCCAATCTATATGAATTGAGAGAGGTCTTCTTGTGACAATCATAGGCGAATTAGTGTGACTAATATCGTGTCCAAAATCATAGGGTTCATGATTATCAGATGCCTAAATGGAACTCAAGAACAGCAAACTCTAGATAACCAAGCAGATTACAAACCTAGACAAGGGTGCATCCATCAGATGTTTGCTCTCCCAAAGGTTCTAGAACACAGGCATACTTTCTGGCGGCTGAAACTTGCCATGTTTGTTGACCTAGAGGTGGCATTTGACTCTATAGACCGTAAGGTGTTGTAACAGCGTCTGACTGTGAAGTAAGTCCTGAGAAAGTATATAACACTGGTCAAAGCTCTCTACTCGAACTCATCCAGTCATGTTAGGGCTTATACAGACTTGTCATCAGAATTGACGACTGCCGAGATAACCGATTATCCACAAAAAGGCGAGTATAATGCGCTGCTGTCTGTTCTGTTCCGTTGTACGACTGTGAGACAAGGCCGTTAAACATGGAAGATATGAAGAAACTACAGGGCTTTGATCGTAGATATCTTCATAGCATTGTCTGCGTTTAGTGAAATCAGCATGTTAGCAATGTTTCGGGTCAGTCAGAAAATTGCATTGATTGATGAGGTTGTAAACCTTAGTCGACTGTGATGGCTTGCACATGTCCTACGCATACCGAGCTACTGCCTACCTTGACGTACCATGCTAGGGGAAGTTGGATTAAGTTGGAAGAGGGTTCAGGGTTACCAGGCTAACACGTGGTACCATTTTATGAAGTCATTGACTGTTAGTCTCAGCCATATGGGGGTTGTGGACTGTCTGGTTGGGGTCCCTGAAATTATAGGGACCAATGATTGATGACCCTTGCTGAAGTGACTAATAATCGGTTAAAATGGCGCAGTTCTATTCACTCTTTCATATCTTTTAAAGCCTAAATATTTTCGTTAACCGTTATCTTCAAATTGCTATTCTCTCACACTACTTTAATACCAATCTGATTATATCCTTTCTGAACTACTGTGATGTGTGGCAACTTGAAGTGACACAGATGTTCTACGTTGATTTTGTCAGCCAGTCAGTGTGACAGGTACATTCATGTGACGTCCCAAATAGTATGAAACGTGCACCGTGGATTCCATTGTTAGCCACTGTCCGTCTTTGATATCATAATATGATTTCTGTTTTTTTATAATTGTCTTTTCGTCTTCTTTTTTCTTCCTAGAGCAATAGTGCTAACTGAAGGTTTAGTTTGCTTGAAACTTGGCAGCGAAATATTCGAGAAGACAGTTCTATGGAATCTTATCTACTGGGTTGTTTGGATGGTAAGCCTCATTTTTTACATGCATAAATGTTTAAGTTCAGTTTTCACGTCTTGAGTTACTTTGCCTAAGTATTCCACTGAATGTCTGTTTTCCCGCGTCTCTATGAGGATTTCATCATCATCACCAAGATCAACATAGAACCAGGCATTAGTATGTAATGGTCCAAGTTGCCATACCTCATCAGCATATCAAGTAACAAAGCAATAAAATGGAAGATGAAGAGAGAGAAATCGGTCAAAGGAAATAGAAGTAGAAAGTAGTATAGGAAAAGAAGGAAGAATGAGGTGGTGAGGTTAAGTAAAGCGGTTAATGTTAGGATAATGTGTGTATGCATCTGCACCACTAACATGACTTCTGAGCCATGTCACCAAGAGTCAGTCTCCAACCACTGGTTTCTCGTGTCCCATGGACCCCAACCAGCTAGTCTGCATCGCTGCACATGGCTCAAACGAATAGTCAAGAACTTCATGGATTGTTACCATGTTTTAGTCTGGCAACACTGAGTCTTTTCCCAGCCTTAACCTACTTCAGCCAACATTGTGTGTCGAGCAGATGGTGGTTAGGCATACGTAACACATGTGCCGGCTATCTTAGTCAATGAAGGTTCACAACCACATCAACTGACTTACCTCTCTTGCTTAAAACTCTACACCTGACTTCTGCGTTACTCACGTGGTGACACTACGAGACATGGCCTATCCTACGAAGGCAGCAATGGTCAAACACCCGGAGCGTTCTCATGACTTCTATCCTTTAATGGCTATGTTTCACAGCCATAGGACGAAACAGAGCGAACTGCAGCACAGGTCACTCGACCTTTAATCAGCATTCAGATATTGCGGCTGTGCCAGGTTTTTTCATTTCTTGCCATTCAGTCTTGATTACTAATCATTTGAATTGATAAAAACTTTGCTAAATTTCTCATTTATTGTGTTGGAATTAAAGCAACAATAGCAACATCTTTGTGGCCTATTTCCTCAAGGACTTGAGATTCAAACAAGATGGGTAGCAAAATAAAGTCTTTTCAAATTCTTCTATTTAGACTTTGCACATGGAGTGCCCCTCTCAACCTTTTACTATGTTGGTGAGTTTCACTGTCTGTTTGACGCACTTCTTAGCACTCATGTTGTATCGAGTGTATGTTTAGAATTAATATAATAAGCAATGCTTAGTTCTATTAGTAACTCTCAAAGGGTGTTCTATGTTGTTAGAAATCATCAATAGTAATCTACCTTGCCTTCGATGTTTGATGGTATAAACTGTGTAAAGTATGCAAACCTTACATTACAGATGTTCTTGAACTTGGAATTAGTTGCTGGCAGTGTCTGTAATTAATCTTAATTGCACAATAATGTGATCTATTTTTCTGCATATTGTGCAAGTAGTGATACTTTTTATTATTGCTGTTATTAGTAGAATACTACTACGATTAGTACTGCTACTTATTTCAGCCATATCCATACCTCGAAAAGCTTCTTAAACTCATTAGTACTAGGGGGAACTGTACGTACAGTTGAAAAATAAGAATTAATAAAGAAGTGATAGCTTTAATGAAACAGTTACCAATCAAATGAAATAAATATCCAATTATCATTTGACTATCTGAGATAGCCGTAGTTTTGCAGACTAGTGTTTATACTGGGTGGTGATTTAAGGTGAAGTGGAAATTTTGACCGCGGCCTGATTCGAATCAGCGACCAACCGGGTTTTTAGCCCGATGCTTTACCAACTGGGCTACGAGGTCCGGCCGCGTTCCATATTTCCTTTTCACCTTCAATCAGCATCCAGTATAATTGTCCGTAGCGACTATTTGTTTTCAAAGCAGTTCTCATGAAGGATTGGCATCATGTGATGAACCATTGAGAAGCTGGAAGCACCATACAAGGATGCGTGCCCATAAATCCATTTGGGATCGAATCCAGGACGGTGAGGTCTGACGGTGAGTGCTATACTTTTAATTCACTGGGTTGGTATCTGGTAGTCAACTTTTTCTATCTCTCTGACAATTCGCGATTTAGCGCAACTAACGTGCAAAGCCATCGACGAGTATTTAACCTCACACCTGATTTGGTTGACTCCATAGATCATAACTACCCATCAGAACTTTTGGAAATTCATCTCAAACTAAGTCACTAGGAACTATGTGGAGTTGTAACTCATTGGTTTAGACAGTTGACTTGTAACCAGTGGGTCACTGTTTCGAACACCACTCCACCTTCTTCTAGGTTTGGCCAGCCAGGTAGTATCATTATCCAGCCATCACACAACAGGTTTGCCTCATTTTCTAATGCACAAATATATACAAGGTTGTTGGGTACGTTTCGATTCAATTCGTCTAGCAAGCATTAGATGGTAATTCAAAACGGTATGGCTGTTCAATGCTCCCAGGTTTTCAATAGTTCTTCAACTGACATCAATAACACTAAATATTCTTTCATACATGGAGGTTTTGGATGCTAGATGGTACCATCAACAGGTCTTTCTCTCTCTCTCTCTCTCACACACACACACAGGGTTTATAGTCCTCTGAAGAGCTGCCTTTTACTTGTCAGGATATAATTCAGTATGTAAGTGTATCCAGAACAAAGCAGATGCGATAAAATTCAAATCGTTGACATAGTGTCCTTCAATCTGTCTGTAAACAGTTACTTCTCAGCATACCTATCAAAACCGAATTGAAATGCACTCAGGAATCTTGTACAGTGAGCTATACTCATTGTGTAAAGCCTTATGATACTACCTAACTCCCCAAAATAATTGGATAGGTGAAGCCCGATTCGAACCTGTCACTCATCAGTTGATCATCTCCCTAAACCAATGAGCCTTAACTCCGCCAGCACACTTGTCCATAATGATCAACTAATTGCAGAACAAAGTTCATATTTATTGTAATTTATTTGGTCGTGGCTAGGAGAGGAACCCAGGATGCGCGTTTCGTCCTGTTCGGGACTCATCAGCTGGATGTACCTGTACTTCAGTGAGTGATGTTGTTCCCCCTCGGACTAGAACATCGTACCCATCGCTTCAAACACCAAGACACTAATTACAAATCGATAAGCCACGAACACAGTTCTCGATCAACTTCTAATGTGTTACAGCCAGTTAGTAAATAGTCAGGTATTCAGGCTTTTTGGATCGATTTATATATGTATGTATGCAAGTGTGGAAATGTAGTTTATTGCGTACAAAATAGTTAATTTTAAAACAATGAGTTTCGTGTTGGACCTTATCTGCATCTACTTCAATCTGAGGAACAGGGTGGTATCGTTGAGATTCCACACAGTTAGCATCGTTCTAAGCCAACTATGTGGACCTCTACTGAGTGGTGTTGTGTTACAGCGGTACAAGTACTTAAATCTAAAGGATATTGTTGAGAGACACTAGTGAGTGGCTCTTTGAACAAGTCGAAATCTGATCTATATGTCAAGGATTTGGATCACTTAATGAAAAAAAATAGCTACCCACAGGTGATCATTTGATTCTATCTGTTGATCTAAGTCGACTAATTACCAAACCTCTATGTCAACACTAGTTAGCCTCCGATACTTTGTCCTGTTGGTGGCAAAATTCAGTTCGGAATGATTAAAAAATATGGAAGAACAACTAATAAAACATCCTTGTCAGTATCTTGCTGGCAATTTACTTCCAAATTAGGCTTCATGTATACAGCAATTGCTTCATTGCATATTCCAATTGTAGTTTATAGATGTTCGTGGAGCTGTATATCACTAGTATTTGCGGGGAGGGGGGTATGTGGTTTTCCGCTAGTGCGCCATGGGTTTGGACATCGGACCGTCTTTCATGATTTTAGCAGTCAGGCGATATTATTATCTCTGACACAACCCATTTGGCTCATTACGAAGGACAAAAGCATACGTATAGTTTCCGGGTGAGTTTAATTAGTTAGTTAGTAATTTGTCGATTTCAGTTATTCTAGCAGTGATATTTTTTAAAATATTGATTTAATTAGGTGTTTAGTTCCTTCTTAACAGTATGGATTGGACGATATTTAGCAAATGGTCATTATTCAATTAAATATTTTCGAAAATCTGATCGGAGTCATATTGATACAATTTCATCAATTGGTGATTCACAGCTCAATTCTGAGGTTAGTGTTGTTTTGTAGGCTAACGGTTTCCTCGGTAACGGGAATATTGATCAGTTTATAAAAGTGTATTTAATAATTCTATCATACACGTTAACATTTTTCGTATATATATATATATATATATATATATATATATATATATATATATATATATATATATATATAACACGCAGAAATAATATGTTGGTTCTTGTTGTCATTCGGTTAACACTGTGAAGAAATTATGAGTTTCTTATCTTGTTCATGAACTATTTTGCATATCGGTGGGTGGAAGTCGTATGCGACTACATCAGTGCCAATGCACTAAGTCTTTTCACAAGCCTTGAACGTACCGATACTTGTAATGAAACTATAAAGTAAGCAGTTTTGAGAGTTGAGGCAAAGCGCTGAGTACTAAGGTCATGGTTGTGTGTTAAACATGGTGACTTAGTGGCTCCATCAATGTGACATGTTATATGAGGTAGGATTGGTTTGGACCAAGGCTAAGGATGGCCAAACCCAACCGTTACATGAAGTTGTTGGCGTTGGTGTGATCTGTGTAAGTAGGTGTAGGTTATCAGTCTGGGGTCTACGAGACGATAGTGACCAGTGTTTGGAGACTCAGTTATACGGCTCAAAATCTATGGCACTCAAGCAGATGCATACACACCTTGGTACCTTCAAGTTCTTGAATATTCTCATCAACCCTCATCTATTTATTGTCTCAACTTTCACACACTTTTGTCTACTTTGCTATCGATCTTTTTCTATCCACCTATCCTTTGCATTCTGCTGTATAGTCTGGCACTTTGAATCAATGTACTTCTGCGCAATATTCTGCCTGATCTAGTAAAAGTAGGTAGGTCAGTTGGTGAGTTTATGAAAATGCACTGACTGAGATGGCTTAATCCTCTGTTAAGCATGCTAATTGAGTGTCTGTCTCTATGTGGCATTTTCGCTGAAGTAGGATTCGGTTTATATGAAGCTTTGACGACTAAAACAAGGTATGGAGTGAATTCATAAAATATGTGACTGTTAGTTTAGGCTGTACTTAAGAGTTTTGGGTGTCTAACTGGATTCCTTGAAGTGTCCAGAATCCCTTATTATTGGCTCCAATCAGGAAGAGAGTTGGTAAACAAACTGATGATTAGTGTCCATGATGACTCATCAAGAAAATGGAACGTTGATTTTCTTGATGTTCGCCTCCAAACAAAGTCGATAAATCACTTCGTTAATCGATCTACAGAAAACCTACATGAAACCCACTCTGTTTCATAGATAAGACACATATAGCCATAAAACCTCACTGAATGAACATATATGGCCTTGAAAAAGATTCTTTTGTCGAATCTTGAATTCAAAAGTGATATTGTTGCAGACATACTCAGGAAACGGCTGTCAAAATCCTTGAGAAGAATATACTTCTCCGCCAACCTTCGGATTATTTTCTTCTGCAAGAAACTTTTTTCGTCAGTGTATGAAAGACAAGCCGACTCATTGAGCCATATCAATGTGTGTATATCAGTTTACTTGCTCTTGCAGGGCTAAGTACATTGGCTGTACCGTGCGTCCGCTTGTAAAACGTGCGCGAACACTACTCCGCCTGGCTGGCTGGAAACGGAAGAAGTGAAGTATATCTTCACTTCAATGACAGAATACCTCGTGAATTCAGGCCACTTAGCTCCTTTTGAAAGCTCATTCAAAATCCTCTACAGGGTTCAATCAAACCACTCGAAGGGTGCCTATAGCCGGAGAAATAGCTATTCAGATGTTGAAACCAACGTTACGTATTCCAAAGATGGTACGTCAAACCTTTATCTTTGCTGTGGCTATCATTAAGTCTTGACTGTCATAGATTCATCCTGCATAATATGATTATGTATTTATTTTCATAATCCATTGTTTATTTTCCCGCTGTCACAGATTTATCTTGTATTACATATTTACATTTAATTTCATGATCCCTTGTCTATTTTCCCACTCCAAACCCTAATGTTTATTCATTAAATCGCTTTAGTTATTCAATATATTTTCCTCCTAACCGGAAGTAATTTTGGAATATTCTGCCAAGTGTAACATATGTCGATGAATGTACAGCTTAGTAAGTGACTTCGTGGAAGAGAAAACATTTTTATTCGCTGCAACCGCGTTTTGTCTTCTCCCATGATCTAAACTCATAACACGCAAAGGAAGACATAATTTAACCCAAAGTAGCAATGATTTACCAAGTTAAAAAAAAACTAATCACCGTCTCTCTGCTTTTGCAAACGATAATCGGGTTTAGTATGCCTAACTGGGAGGTCTTCAGCAAAGTGTAGTAAAAATGGGTAATTTTTGTTAAGTAATTATCCTAAAGGCTTCAGAAATGTTTATTTGGTGTCCAGTTCACATCCATGAAAAAAAATAGGACGTCATTTTATTCTACATATCTGCTCATTTTCGTATGTGAAACAATCTTCAGACTATCAGTATCTGTCATAAATACTTTAATTGATTATTGAAGTGTTTTCAGTGGACTTTTAATCTCGCATTTGAAACCTATCACTCACCTGTCGTGAGGTGATTATAATTATGTCTGAAGGTCTCTTACTTCATCGCTAGGGGAAACGGGCTCATGCTGTTGAAGGTGCACTAGTTTCCTCATGCCTAGCTGATGGGCATCATTCAGGAGAAAACCTATGCGAAATACGACTTCGTGTCGATTGACTCTCAACAGTAAAATTGGCCTCCACCAAAATGCTTTAATAATGCTCTTTGCTTGTTTTTCCATCTAAAATTGTTTTGCTCAACCTATTTTACTTTCCATTATTTTAGAAAACTTCTTGTAATGATGATGGTAAAAAGAATACCAATATTAAATCGCGTCAGGTGACAATATCAAATAATGTCATCACATTCGATGATGAAATCAAGGATAAAAGTGCGGTGGCCACTTCATCTCTATCGACACACCATACGAAAACGGAATAATGATAATATATTAATAATAGTAATGATAAGACTACTACTCGTAGTCCTCACTTCCTTTTTCTTCTCAAGTGTTGATTAGACTCTTTGTTTACTTGAGTACTCTCCTTAGAAGGTGAATCTGGGACACCAGCAATGTCAGCAGCATCAGCTTCAAAAAAAGAAGAGACGAAACTTCACACATGGCAACAAGTTTAATATACTTTTACCTGCATTTTTATTCAGCAAAGAAATGTGCTTCATGCTTTTCGCTTTCTTCTCCATCCCCGATCTATTTTGGTTTTATTCATGGTTCTCTATCTTCAAGCACACATCTATCCGGTTAGCCTTTAGTACTAATTTATCTAGTTGTCAATTCATCTTATTATGGTTGATAACGTAATCAACTATTCTTCACCAGTATCCATTACATCACCTCATACCTTTTTAATCTTGTTATGATTGACCTCCAAATTTTTTTTGTTTAAAAGGAATATCTGTATACTATTCGGGAAAGCAAAAAGGAAAGAGGGAGGGGGGGGGTAGATTTTATTCAGTGTTCAATAGTGGAGAGATATTGGTCGAATTAACCATGAAGGTTGTTTTATTGAGGTATTTATTGACTTGTACAAAACCGTACTGTTTTGCTTCTCTGTTTTAATTCCTTTCTTGTACATGCTTTCATTAATTTTGCGACACACTTAAGAGCCTGTTTAGTAAACGTATGTATGTATATCACATGTCACCACTGAGTATTTGGAAATTTCGAAACTTCATATTCTTACTAGTATTATTATTATTAATTATATTTAAGCAAAAGTTGTCGTTAGGAATGCAAATATTTAAATTCAGAGGAGAACTGTTTCCTTGTTTTCTATATTGTTAAGTATTAAATTTACCATTAGTATTGTTATTTCTGGTTGTCGAGTTCATTTTGTATTTAGAAGGTGTGTTTCGTCCTGTTTAAGACATCAGATGGATGTAACTGGATTCCAATGAGTGATGTCGTTCCAACTGAGTGACAAGAAGGTGCATACTAACACATAAGGATCATTTCAACTCAGTATAGCAACAAGAAATCACTAATATCAAACAATAACAACTAATACTGATCGTATAAGCGGTGGCTGTCGTGACTCAATAGCTTAGCAGATAACGCTTATTCAAGTGATGGGTGCAAAGCTTGAATCTCAGTGGGAATGCCGTCAATCACTAGGAAGCAGGTATATCCAGCTGATGAGTTCTAAATAAGGAGAATTGTTAATTCTTGACTCCACCGTTAGCCACAATGAAGCAAATAATAGCATAATGAATATTCAGGCAATATTAAGGCATCCACACATGAACCCTTACACCACCTGAGATCGACTAATTTGATCAAGTATAATAATTCGGTGTTAAATGTACGAATAAATTGTTCAATCTACTTATCGAAGATACAACAACTAGACAGGTAGTATCACTGACCATCACCACACAATAAAAACGTTTTATTCACTGCTGAGCTGTTGAGTCAAATTTTATTTCCTTGAAATTGGTTTATAATAATAAAAATAGTGATGATGGATAGTGGCCAGCAGTGGAATCCAGGATGCGCATTTTGGCCTACTTACGACTTGTCAGCTGGATGTACCTGCCTCCCAGTGAATGATATTGTTCCCATACAGGTAATATCGAGGCATCCACATAGAAGCTGATATGCCAAAAGAGACCGATCAATTCGGTCCAATCCTTGATGGTATATTACAAGCAATAATACTCAAACTATGCATGTCGCACAAGAAGTAATTATCATGGCTCGGAGGTGTAGTCAATAACTCTGGCGTATGAAGCGATCTGTCCCGAGTTCGAATAGCTGTGGGAACAACATAACTCATTATGAGGCAGGTAAATTCGTCTCACGAGTCCCAAGTAGGACGAAATGCGCATCCAGGATTCCCCTGCGAGTCAACATCCAACAATTCAATCAAATAAACGACGGTATGATACAAGCAATAATACTAACACTAAAAATGATAAACATAATCATAATGGCTTTATTCTGAAAGGCAATTAAGGAATACTCCACAGAATTTCTAGCATGTCATATAGCGCCAACTGGACAGAAATACAGTGTATATGTATACAAAGCAAAATGAAATAAGTAGGAATTACATATAAAAAAATGAAAAGAATATTCACTCTGACTACAACTTTCGTCAAAACGTAGAGTTAACTAATGTAAACAGTCACATCAGTAATACGATTCGTAATATTTAAATAACAACAAGCTGTGTAACCCTAATTAGTTTACTTAAACGAACAAAAGTTGATTAATTAGTTCATTTGTAATACTTTGTTCATCACATTTGAGACGAGCTAAATACGGTAGTCTGTAGTTCTTATATTTAGTACCACGTCAATAAAGTCTTATGTAATTGCTCCCGGTCTTTCCTGACGACCGACACACAGAGAGTTTCGAGTGAATAGGATGCTGGTCATCTGATAAAGTAACTCCTATTAGATGTTTACATGGGTTAATGTGTTTATCTACAACTGTTTTAACTAGGTTTAGAGGTACACTACTGGTTCTGCTGACAATAGTCAAAGTTCTGCGCAATAAAGCATAGTCTTTTTTCAGCAACCTAGGAACAGCAACAGGAACAATAGAGGAGAACAGGAGTTTATAAAACACAAGATGAGAGGCTGAGTTATACCAGATACTCTCTGCTTCCTAATATACAAAGTTAGGCGGTAGATTCTTTTGGAAGTTAGCAAGACATGGCAAGATCAGGAAAGGTCCAAAGAAAAACACGCATCGAGATAAATCACACTTGTAACATTCTCTAATGCACAACTATCAATAGAACAGGAATTATGAGAAATAAGCAGTTTACATAGGTTATGATCACATCTGAAACTAAAGTTTATAGTCTGATATTTTCAAGAATTAAGCATAGGACTATTCACGGAGGACCATCGTCCAACAGTAGATAAAAAGGAAATCATTCAATTAATATCAATCTGTTGAAGAGGAAACAGGTGTAGAAACTGTCGGGTCATCAGCATATTTGATGAAACTGATACCAGCTGAAGATAGTAAGTCATGGAGAAAGAAAGGGAAAAGACAGATTAAGTATGCAACCATGTGACTGTTGGGACTCGGACTAGGGACCAGTCACTTCAAACACCAAAGCGTTATCCAACAGACTGCCTAGTCACAATGGCGACTTCTTTTTTGGTTGGTGTCGTTATATTGTTTTGCTTGTATTATCCCATAATCTTTACTAAGGTCTTCTTATTTAAATAGAGTTTGCCGGAGTGTATTTCACTCACTGTGTTATCTAACCTGATTAACCATCATCACCTGGCTTAATCTCCTTTCTAATCATTGTATGGAACTCGTTGAGTTACACTGTTTTTCCTCAGAGGGTCAATGGGATTCCTAGTCTAAGATTATTCATCTAGCTATTTACGTTTACTGGTCAGACTGTTGACCCAGTTACTTAGATTTCAGGAAGCCTCTGGTGACAGATGTAGAGTAAACTTATGTGAACTCCATGTATTTATTCAAAGAGTAAACGGTAGCTAAGATTTTCTATGGGATACTTATCTTCCTAGAGGGGACCATTCTATATTTCACCATATATTTGTGCTATAACTTCCTGAATGGCGCAGATCGGGTATCTCGATGTGTACATTTAACTTGAATTAATAAGTCATCTTTTCATAGTTTATGAACTTTTAAGGATTGCCATTTCTTCAAATGATTGGAAATTCCCATTACAATTCAAAAGTGAGTTAACAAAGAATATTCTTTTCGATAACTTCTTCACGTTCTACAGTTATATGCTCGCATTGAGGAATTACGCGTGAGCAATATAGAGATTCTGCTTACCACTTTGTTATTATACAATTGAGGAGGCCGATTGCGAAAAGTCGTGGGTGAACGCTTATGATGGAATCAGTTGTCACTATGATTCATTCCGAAATAATCGATTATTCGAACGATTATACTACACACGTAATGCAGTGAGGTGATAGTTTACTAAAACAGTACGAAGATGTTTATGGCAATTGGATGAAATAAACTAGGAAGGATAAGAGAATTTATCAAATTTTTTTCAGATTGTAGGGGTATCGACAGTATGGAATTAGATTATATGGGGCAGGATACTAACAAATTTGTGCGTCCCGAACCGGATCACAGTTGTTCTAGAGATATCACTTTCTTCTTTTGAACACGCGACCCGCATTGTTTGATCCTGATTGCTACTACTTCTGCAGTTTGAAGAGTCTCGAGCCGAGTACCTTTTGACAAGCTGGTGGGAACCCGGTACAGAATGGAAAACGATTCATTCATTTCAATCTTATGGTCCATTTCAACCAAGCTTGCTAATATGGGGCTGGTAATGGTCTTTTCCATGCTTGCACTCAACCACGTTGGGAGATGTTCTCGAACACGGAAAATTGAATTCCTAGAGCAGTGGTCGATGTAACTTGCTCCACAGGAGCAATCGAACGATAAACACAACAGGAAGTGGCTAGTCTGGGTAATTCATGTTTCAGTTTTAGTCTCACCATTGGGAGTGTGGAAGACGAAATTTATAATTTACCAACATTGAAAATTCTCTGAATTGATTGATCAGTGTAGTTTGTGAATTAATATCTCGCTGAGCACGTTGCCTCTGAACTGTACCCTAATGTATAGCGGTTTTCTACGAGGCTTTGGAATACCCTATCTTGCCATTTTTATAATCATAGGTTTCCTTATGAATTTCTGAGTATAGGCATCTTCAATTAGTGTGTTAGCCAAGGTCGTCAGTTCCTCCTCACTTGTATCTTCCAAGCATTTATTCTGTAAGTTAAAGTTTTGACTAAATTTATTTTGTACTGAATGGGGAAGGAGCTGAGAAAATGTATGTATTCTTTCCACGTATTTTTTCTAAATAAATCCCTCTTAATCGACTCATCTATTCGTATGAGAGGAGAACATCGAGAAGAACCATTTTGCCTTGTAACTCTTCCCCACATGTATACTTCATCGCCGAGTGTACTGCGTTGAATCTGCTGATTATCTTTGACCTGTCCATGATGGTTTCTCAGAGAATGAATATGTCATCCTAGTTACTACATATATGGTCTCTCAGTTCTTCGGAGAATAAAAAAAGCGATAAGTCAACAGAAGATGTATTGCAACGGTAAAGCATATATATATATATATATATATATATATATATATATATATATATATATATATATATATATATATATTAGAGAGGGAGAGAGAAAGGATGGCTATTCCCAGAACTTTACAGAGGGATATTCCCTATTGATTTCGATTCGTCAACCAGTTTGATACTTGCGTTTTCTGGAGACTTTGAGGCAAAATGATTGGTCTTGAAAAACTTCAGGGATTTAGGGCTTCTTACAAGGATCTGATAAATGTTATTGCACACACTGATACTTACCTATGTACAGAAACATACACTTAATGAATAGGAATGTAGGTTTTCTCACCTATCCTTTAGTAAACACTAAATCAGTAATTACTTTGAAAGTATTAGTCAATAGAGTAATTAAAACCATACTCTTTGTCTTGTTACTGATGAAGAAAGATATGAACATTTTAATAAATCGAAACTCTTCCATTATTGTTGATTATTATCATTACTGTTATTATTTTTTATCTTTGTTATTCAGAAACGTGGATGGATTGTACCTCCTTTTGACAACAATCCCTGGTGGACATCTATTGTTGCCCTTGGACCATCTCTACTCGCTGTGATTTTAATATTTATGGATCAGCAAATTACAGCTGTCATTGTTAATCGACGTGAACATAAATTGAAGGTAGTGTGTGCTTTGTACTTGTCTGCTTATTTATTATTTCATATGGAGGGGAGGGGGGGGATTGGTATAATAATTCAGTTTTGTAGGTTTTCTGGATTGATTGATTTCAACGTAGTATTCCCCACAGACGGATATCAGTTAACAAACCGTTGAACTGAATAACTGTTTTGTTTTAGTAGTGTACACTCATGATCTCTGCCCTCCGGGTGATCGAACTCAGGACGTTAAGTTCTCGTGGTGAGCACGTAATCATTGAGCTACTAGAAACTGCGGACTATCGAATTCCGACACAGTGACTGAATGGCAACATGCTTACCACGAGATCTGAAGGTCCTGGCAGGATCATGGGTGAGTACTGCTGAGAAGTCGCGTACTAGGATGAAACAGCTGTCAAGTACTTCTAGGTTTACAATGGTTCCACAACTGATGTGTCAGTTCGTGATGAATACTACGTTGTTGTATTAATTGTCTATCTTTAAAAAAAGTTACTCAAGAGAATCTTTCTACTCATATCTGTTTATATGCCTTAGATTTTCAGGATTTATTAACTTGCGAGATATTTGAAAGTAATTAGCACAGAACACTGAACTTTGGCATTCTGCTTCTTTATATTGGAAAGGCATATCTTCAATCTTGAGGAATTTTCTTGCTTTGTTTGACTTTGTTGCACCACTGGACACTATCTGTCGCCAGAGAAGTAACGACCAGAACTTTCCTGATTACATTGCACTTAGAACTTCAGCACTACATCAATTATCAGACTGTACAACCAAATTCATCTGCTCACTATCAGGTGGTCTTGAAATAATATACAACTGTGTTACTCAAATTAAATTCAGATGGAAGTGCTTTGGCGTTAAGAAGGTGATTTATCCGCTGATAGGTTGCATATATACATTAGTAACTTGGCTGTTATTGCTTACAGGGTAAACTGTAGTGCTTCCTAGTTGTTCGTCTAATAGCTAAGAATGAGTAGTAATTGCACCTCATCGTCTACTTTAGACAACATCTCTGAGGAAATTAAAAGTAAGCCAAACGGCTACGGTAATGTGACTGACCGCTTTCAGCGTACTGGTCATATGTTATGCAACAGCTGAAGAACTAAGCTTAGGGTGAGAGTAATGACCTACTTTTATGATTCAAGGTTAAGGGCTTGGTACAACGAAATACTCTACGCTCGGACGGATACTCAATAAGGCACTTAAGTAACTCATATCTGAATTTCAACTGAGCCACTAGTAACTAAAAAGGAAGACAAAATAAGTATGAATTGAACGCACTAATACCGCTTCGGACTGACTTTGTGCTGGATAAAATCTCATATATACGATTTTCATAGATAACCTTGTAGATCAGCCATTTTAAGGAGTGGGTTTCCAGAGACAAATTTGGAATCCTGTGGAAATTCAAATTTCCTAAGACTTTATGATTAAAACTATTAAGCTTTTTGACCTTTCTGAGGTGAATTCTTGAGAAATCTTCGTAATGACTGAGAAAGTGTCATATATGTCTAACTAACAACTATCTCATTGTTCACTGCACGTTGTGAATAGCACAGAAGATGCTTCTAGAAGTAGTTCAAAGAAAGGATTACACCAGAAGTGTAGATAGCTAAGTTCTAGTTTGGTTATATTTTGTAAAATTGTAGGCCTATTGGCTTAACTTCATGTTATATCAGATATCCAAAGTCAAAATTGTCAGATAGTATGCTCTAACACTGAGTGGGATTAGCCTAAATCCGTTCACATCTTCTCTTCCTTTAGCAATTATGCATGCTATCTTATTCTTGTCATATGTATTTCTTCGTTCTTCCTCTGATGAATCTACCTTGCCGATATGGTTCATCGTTCTAGGCACTCCACTTCTAGCCAGTGAGTTACAAATTCGATCACCGTTCAGTCAAGTAGTTCTAGTAGTCTTTACTTAATACCCACCTCACGAACATGCACATGGTTGATGAATGGGTGTTGTTTTCATCAATGACAAACAGTATCCATATATGGTGTTATTGCTTGCATTATACCATCGTTGATTGACCGAATTCATTGGTCTTTATCGGCACATAGGCTCCTGTGCAGATGCCTCCATATTCCCTGTGTTTCTAATTCTATAGTAATGATGGCTAGTGGCTAGTAGTGGAGTCCAAGGTGCTCATTTCGTCCTATTTGTGACTTGTCATCTGAGTGTACCTGTCTCGCAGTTAGTGATGTTGTTCCCACCTGGATTTGAACTCCAGACTATCCATAATTACCATATAATTAAAAACAGGCAGTATCGAGGCATCCACACAGGAGCCTATATGCTGATCGAGACCGATCAATTCGGCCCAATCAACGACGGTACAATACAAGCAATAACACTAAAACTATACCCATCGCACAAGAAATGTCTGTGTACGGCGTGAATATGAACAGAACGATCTTTCTTTTCAAATTTGTCAGTATTAAGGTTACGTAAATACAGCTCATCGATTTGGCAGCCTTCTATTGATGCTGGGTAATGATAATTCCTGAAGGTGAAATGAAAGCCTAGGTCATGACAGGATTTGAACCAGCAACTTCTGCTCCTCACTTTTCACTACAACTTCGATATTCTGTCTTTTTAAACAAGTTGATAGAGAGAACTGGATTGTTTTTTTGTTTTTTGATACAGTGATCACCGCGCTTTATGGCTAATTGACAGAAGTCAGAGATAATTGGCCACTAGATTTGAGGCTATCGGTTCAGTAGGAAGGTAGAAACTACAAGACTTGAATTTCATGGGTTCCGTCTTGTGTGGAACCGCGGGCCCAAACTACTAACGATCTGAAAACCAGTACTCTCAACTTGTGAATGATCCTCTGGCTTATGTGAATCCCTAATGGTGATTGGTTTAAACGTCTGTTGGAAGAAGCATATCAGCTGTCTAGTAACCTTCGTACTACCCTTGAATGACTCTTTGTTATCTAAAGGTTAAACAGTGATTGTTTTCATCTTATTTACTATTCGATCACAACCACATACGCCAACAGTGCGTCGAAAGTATTGAGTCATGAGTTGAAGTACTGAGTTCAATCCTATGGTTGTGCAGTGTATTGTCAAGTATTTATTTTTGTTATACCTCTTGATTAATCAACATGTGATCAGTGTAACGAACTCTAGTTCAACATGAAAAACCAATCCAGCCAGTAGCGTAAGCCCTTCTATCAGTAGTGCGTATATCTGGGTCAAGTTATTGTGTTATAACATTTTTCATAACGACCGTAATATTATTAATATTATTGTTTGTATTATCCCATCGTTAATTGGGTCTAATCGATGGGTCTCTATTGGCATACAGGCTCCTGTGCAGATGCCTCGCCATTGCCAGTGTTTGATTGATATATTAATGATCGATAATGGTTAGCAGTGGAATCCAGCTGAACGAGGGTTTCATCTTACTTGGGACTCGTAGTGGTCTAGTGGAAAACGGTGTGGCGTTTGGAGCGATCGGTGCCGAGTTCGAGTTCTGATGGAAACAACATCGTTCACTTGGAGGCAGGTGCCAGCTGACGAGTTCCGAATAGGACGAAACCTGTGTCCAGCTGAATTACACTGCTGGTCACTATCTATCATTGATCAAAATAATAAGCTACACAGAAATATAGAACAAGAAGCATATTTGACTCTGACATCGGGTCATATAAAACAACGGGAGAGACAAAAGAGGCAGAACAGCTTGATTTTGACAGTCCATGATGAATAGACCCTTGAAATCAATCAGTTCTTATAAACATTGAGTGAAATTACACTTCAATGAAGTAGTTTATATCGAAGAAGAAAGTGATAAATATTAAAAATACAAGGTTTTGACTAGATAATCTGCCTGGATGTTATTGCATAGCCACTGGCATCTAAGGGTTATTTTGCCTAGTACGCATCTGCTAGTTTTCTCTGTGCTGCTTGAAAGGTGCACACTCAGAGTTCATAATAAGGTTACCTATAGTCACAAATACTAAATAATTACCTCCCTCCTACTCTTCGCCAAATAATCCCCAAGTATGTACTGCCTGAGAAATTTCAAAGGAGCAAGCATGTTCTTTCTCATTTGTCTTTTATTATCAGCACTTAAACTCTGAGTAAGATGCTGGTTGGAATGTGGAACTGTTGCCCAGTCATTCACGCAGCTGACATCCATGCAATGGGTCTCGGGTCCGAATCTCGTTCCGTCTACCAAGATTTCGACAACCAAGTAATCTGTCTGGTCATTGCACAACATGTGCGGTTCACTGCCTACTGTACGAATGTACACAAAGCTGCTGAGTATGTTTCAGTGTTTTCTTTTCTTGTTTTGACTGGTTGAAATGTTACTCATAAACATTAATATATTTGTAACAATAGCAGTAAGTTGCAAAACAACAATACACCCAGTTCATTAGAAAACCTTGTCCAAATTGCCTTAATTTTGAGTAATTCTTGATTACATTCTTACAAATCAACCGGTGTTCCGATGATCTAATCGATCATGTAAACATCATTTTACTAAACATTGGTAATAATAAGAATAGTCTACTCCGCATTGGTAACAGATGGTAAGTCATTGTGAGAATGTGTGGTCTCGATAGTTAATCAGGTTACAAATTGATTTTTATAAACTGACTTAAGAAAGGCTGGTCATTCAATTCTGATTCGATTGTTGAATGATCATATGGTTTCTATAAATCCTCACTGTCATGTGCTCGATACCGTGTGCAAGTACCGATGTGTACTGATGAGTAGGTTCCAGCTGGAATAGAGAAACTTTTTATTGTTTAGGTTCCAGAGGTCACTTAACGCGAAGCTTTGCTTAGTCTAGTTTTTGTACTTGTTAGCAGTCATTTGCAACCATGAGAAAATTCATGTTCACTTGTTCACTCTATCCTGCATCAATCAGTGCTCAGGGCCATCACACACAGTTGGAAATAGTGTGTTTCAGTTTTCTCCCTCAACAAAAGTCTTACACTTCTTGACAACAGGAATTCCAGACTTTAGAAGTATTGAAAAACCTCAAGGCATTTCTTACTCTTACCATCTAGTGACGCATTCTAACAAGTTATTCAGTGTTAGAGGTAAAATAGCAGTAGATTCTGAGCAAGTTTCATTTCAGCCCCGTTGATAACTCCCCAACAGTTCTCATCGATGACCTTAAGGAGACGTATCTTTTCTTGGAGATTCAAAATTTACCCGGTCTGCAATGGTATCAAAGGCTTCAGTAATAACCCATTCAGACTGCCATTGACCCCATGTGGGCACAGAATATGCTCAGGAATTTATCACTGGATGATAACCAATCTAACTACCGAGTCCAAAGTGTTCAACAGTGGTATAAACCTACTAGCTAAGTGTGTGATGTGGCAACTGAGGTAGGCAGTACACCAGTATGGTGTACTATATTTTCTTATCAAATGTTATGAGCCAACAGGTAGCAGGTCATGAGACGTTTTCACTACCTTCGCATATATTTCACTATTCATTCGGCTAGTAGACTAGCTGATGTCTCGACATCAAGATAGACATCATCCTTCACGGTATACCAAATGACAATATCCTAACCTAGAAGAAGGAATGTTAAAAGTCCTGTATAAAACTACTGAGGTTGATTGTAAATACACATTTAGCTAAATGGTAAGAACAATCATCATCACTTCGTATGATACTTCTAAGTGGGAAAGTTTGCAAGCTGACAATGATGAATTTAACAAGAACAAGGCATGTATCAGCGAAGAAATATTTTTTTTCTGTACAGCGCTTTCTAGTGGCGCTTTTCGAGAACTGAGAAATGGTGACCTGTTGGATCAATTAATTCGGATTTGAGGACAAATACTAACCGATGACATTGGACGGTGGATGGGATGTATCTCAAATTGACAGAAGTAGAAGAATGTGGAGTATTTGATTTCAACCCTGTGGCTCAATGTAAATGTGCTTGGCACGTAACCGTAATGTCCTGGATTCAGTCCACGATGGGGTTTGAGGTAGTATATTGTTGATGATTCCCATGGTTAGACAAAATAACTGTCCAGTGTTCTCAGTCTCTCAATATTTCTCCAACTGATGTCAGTTTGCATTAAACACCAGCTGCTGAAACCACGAAAATAAAGACATTAGACGGCTAGTTAACAGTCGAAAGATCAAAATACTTGATTGATAGAGAATAAGACAGACAAAAACAAAAGCTTTCCGGTTAACGAAAATCTCTTCATAAGCGTAAGCCAATGAATGTGGGGGAACTCAACAAAGAATGGAAGGTGTTGTATCCGTAGCCAGATAGAATGAGACCAACCCTTGGTTGATAATGAATGTCTTTCACGTACCTATCCTTGTTCTTATTCGTTGACAGTGTGATTATGCCGCCTACGATTTCAAGGTCTTGCACATATTCCATGCATTTCCCTAAATATAATATCACTGTGTATAGTAGAGTGACTTGAAAAGCCACTCTAGCAACAACTGAAATAATCAATCAAACTGCTCTCTTTGTGAAAATCTGCCTTTTCATCCGAAATTAAGAAACCGAACTGGTGGTTTTGATCATTGCTACGGTAGCCTTTAAAGTCGCCTGTATTGTATGGACCAGAAGTCTACCCTCATGCTCTCTCTGAGTCAGTTGGTTTGGTTTTAGTGCCTGTAGGGTCAGCTCGATAGTTTGGATCAGAGTTGGGTATTTCCCCTAATCCATTGATCATAGGATCCAAATAGGAAACCGAATACTGAAATTAAGATAATTAGCAACTGCCAAATCGTTATATCAAGGTTGTAATAGAAAGTAACCCGAAATTGTCGATAACTGTATGACAAGACCGTGAAGATTGTCCATCGAGTTTAGACGAGTAGGTGAATGACAAATGTGTTGTAAGCCAGCAACTTGATGTTTGACGATAATCAAAAATACAGACAAAGCAAACCGAGACAATTTGTTGAACAATATGAAACTCGAATTATAAGCTGCAAACTTTCGACTGAAAATATCAGTTATCAAGAATCGGGGATACTTTTCTCAGTGATGAATAGATCTAAAAAAAACTATTTTATTAACTTTATTGTCTTTGTCACATCCTTAAATGATGGTTTCACTGATTCCCTTCAGTAAACAACCCTAAGAAGAATTGCAACCTAAAATCGATTAATAAGCCTTCACAAACCTCTGTATAGAATTAATCTAGCCCCCATTGGTGACTAGCCTCAAGAAATGAATGAGAAGTCGTGACCAGGGAAGTCAACCAAACCGAACATGATTGGATATATTCAACAACAAAAATAATATCGAAAATCACCTTGAAAATTGAGAAATCGAATGAAGATTTTTGTTTACTGTTGCGTAACTTTTTAATATGTGACAAAATATTATTCAGAAGGAGAGAAGTTTCAAAGTTCAATGTGAGTTGACCGTTTTAATGCTTACTGTGATGACCGTATGTAAATTGGTTGAAACTGTTAACTCGATAATTAGCAGTATGCTTCAAGTTGCAAGTGGAGTACTGAATTAATACCAATTTCTGTGTTAGGTATTTGAGTCACTAGCTCTTAGATTGCTCAAGAAAGCCTGAAGGCCCCCCCATGAAAACCGAATATCCTCGAAAAACCACATGTTTCTTAAGCGTGAGCTTCAAATTGGTTGGATTCATCTCTCGGAAAGTGTAGAAAATATCAAAGCCTCTGAAAACACATGTATAAATACTACAAAATTTTGTACACGATTTTACCTACCAATAAACGTCTTACCACTTTAGTATGTTGTCTAGGAATGAGTGATCCTAAAGGCTAAATTACGTAGATTATTGTCCAACAGTTCACATACACATATGTATATCAGCCTCTAACTTTATGCTATTCTGACTGATTAGCTAAGTGGTTTCCTGAAAGAAATGATGAAATTTCGAAGATTAGAATTGACTAAAATAATCACCAAGTAACCAATTTACCCAGCCAAGTTCGGAGTGAATTTCTCAACATGACTGCTCCTTCGATTGTGTGTGAAGGGTAAGTCATCTCTTTATTACCACTCAATGGTACGTTTTTCAATTCAACTTCTGAGTTCGCGGGTTTGTGGAGATTCAGTGACTTTTCAGGTTGGTATTCTCCATGGACTGACATGAGTTGGAGGAACACTGGAAATTTGGGAGCAATGAACAGCTGTTTCCTCCTAATATTGGACTACTCAATAGTGCACACTCTTGAACCCGCCCCAAATCGCCAGGGACCCAACCCGGGACCTTCGCGTTCCGTGACCAGCACCTCACCGTTGACCCACTGGGTTGGCGGAATCCAGTGGTCCATATTTCCAACTTCTATCAGTTCACGACATAGTGCGACCACCAGCCAATATCATCACTGAGTATTTGTGATGGTGGTCGCTCTAGGTCGTGAACTGATAGAAGTTGGAAATATGGACCACTGGATTCCGCCAACCCAGTGGGTCAACGGTGAGGTGCTGGTCACGGAACGCGAAGGTCCTGGGTTGGATCCCTGGCAATGTGTGGCGGGTTCATGAGTGTGCACTGTTAGGTGTCCCATAGTAGGACGTAACAGCTGTCCAGTGCTCCGAGGTTTCCAATGTCCCTCCAACTGATGTCAATCACATGTCAGACTGATGATCTTGTACGAAGAAGAAAAAGACCATCTAAGTGCATGACCTGATATACTATTGTGCTCTAGGGAAGATGGATCTATCAGACAATCGACATATAGGAAGCGTACTTGGACAGGATAGTATTTGAATTTCTACGGTTTTTGTCGGATGAAATATAAGAGAAGCTTAGTAAGATGCTTGTTCAATAGAATCCGGCGTATTTGTACATCTGACAAGATGAATGATGAGAATAAATTTCTGATAGACACTCTAATAGAAAACGGTTATCCATTACAGTTTGTCAACCATTATAAAAAAAACAGCTGACCCGGAAGCCTATTGTTTCTTTGGTCCTGAAGAAAGAGATATTTCTTAAAGTACCATACAGAGGAAAAACTAGTAGTATGATGTTGAAGCAGTGAAATATGCTGTGCAGCTCAGCTTATCAGTATTGAGACGACAAAACACCTGCTTCACCACAAACCTCTGCCTCGCGTAAATGATTACGTCACATCCCACTGTGTTTACCAATTTACATGTATGTGTGGGCACAAATACATGGGGAGGAGTAATCGTTCAATGCAGACTAGGGTGGGTGAACACATACCTAAATGGCTTGAAAAGCAATTTAACATACGAACATTGATAAGTGCAGAAGATAGACATCCATCGTCGTCTATAGCAAAAAATATCATTGAAGTGATACACAAGGTAATATGAAAATAGATATTACACAGGAATAATCAGCGGTGCATACTGAAGTTTGCCTAAGCGTTAGCCATTCGTAAACTTAAGCCCCCGTTGTGCGTACAAAAACAATTTTTTGTTTCACTTAATTTACCTTGGTAATCCTTATCTGATTATGTTACCAAGACTAGTGTCACAACCTTTTCATATTCATTATATTTGACCTTTCACTTTCACATATAAATCGACTTGACAAGTGAATGTGTGATCAGATTGTTCAAAATGTACTGCCCAAATACACCACATTTTTCAGATAATCTTCGTTTTCTAATAGCGTTATCGAAATTAATTAAAGGGACTAAATGTTTCAAACCTGAAATTATTCGACACTATGAACAAGTGAATGTGAGATAATATCAAGAATTGAAAAATACTTAACAAAAAGTGAGGATTTCAAACAACTAAAGATTCCCATAATATTGATAGAAAGCCACAATCTGTACAACGAATAATATTTTCAATAGAATTCTCCAACCAGGTTCTACAATCATAAAATACATTTGTACAGCATAAAATCAAGCTAAACTAAGGGCAATTACATTTTCAAGATGTAATGAGAACTAGGGATTGTAAGGAAATCAATTTATCTTTATTAAATTAGTCAATATTAGGATGATACATATACAGATGAGTGATGTGATAATGGACAGAAAGATAACGATAAAAAGACAGGAGTTGCCTTTAGTTTGCTGAAGGCCAAGGCAGAAGTTTTTTTATTATTATTATTATTAGTCCTTTGGGTTCCTAGTGGAACATAGGGCTTCAGTAGCACGCCTCCAGTGACCTCTGTTCTCTGAGATCTTTTGAACCTGGTCCACGACAGCCCACAAGCTCTCATTTCCTCCTCGCACGACCTCCTCCATGTCACCCTCGGACGTCCAACTCGTCGCTTCCCATCGGGGTTCCACTCGAGGGCCTGACGCGTGATGTCCTCAGTCGGCCTTCTCAGTGCATGGCCAATCCATCTCCACTTCCTGCATATTTGTTGCGTGATAGGTTCTTGGTTGGTTCGTTCCCACAGCTCCTTGTTGCTTATTTTTTCTGGCCATCTGATCTTCAGTAGTGAGCGTAAGCAGTTGTTGATGAATGTCTGTAGTTTATTGGAAATGCCTTTCGTGACGCGCCAAGTCTCTGAGCCATACAGAAGCACTGACTTGACGTTGGTGTTGAAAATCCGTATCTTGTTCCGCATGCTGAGTGCAGAAGATCTCCACACTGGTTTCAGGCTAATGAACGCCTGTCTTGCTTTTCCGATTCTGACTTTGACATCCTCGTCCGTCCCGCCTGTAGTTGAAACAGTGCTTCCTAGATAAGTGAAGGAGGTTACTTCCTTCAAGTTTCTCCCGTTGACGGTGATTGGAGTTTGTTGTTGTTGTTGATGGTGGTGCGGTATCTTCATCACTTCTGTCTTCTCTATATTCACCTGAAGTCCCGTCTTAGCTGCCTCTTCTATCAACTTGTTAGTTTTTGCCTGCAGATCTTCAAGTTTGTGTGACATTAGGCATAAGTCATTGGCGAAATCCAAGTCTTCTAGGTTCTTTTCCGCAGTCCAGCGTATCCCCCTCTTCTCGCTGCCTACTGTTTGCTGCATGATCCAGTCCACCACAATCAGAAATATCATGGGGGATAGTAGGCAACCTTGTTTCACTCCTGTCTTCACTTCAAAGGCATCACTGAGCTTCCCATTGTGGATTACTTGGCATGTGTCATCTTCATATAGTTGTTGAATGAGGCGGATAAAGGTTTGCGGTACTCCGTAGTATTGAAGCAGTTTCCAAATTACTTCTCGGTCGACGCTGTCAAAGGCCTTCTCAAAGTCGATGAAGTTGAGGTAGAGAGCTGATTGCCATTCTATGCTCTGTTCTATGATGATACGAAGCGTTGCAATTTGGTCTGCACATGATTTGTACTTCCTGAAGCCTGCCTGTTCCGGTCGTAGTTTTGAATCCAGTGCATCTTTAAGCCTCTCTAGGATGATGCGGCTTAATATTTTACTTGGGGTGGACAGGAGAGTGATTCCTCGCCAGTTCTTGCAAGCACTGAGGTCTCCCTTCTTCGGCAGTTTGACAAGGTAACCCTTCTTCCAATCGTCAGGTACCTTCTCTTCCTTCCACACCTTCTGCAATAGTGAGTGTGAGCATGTTCGCTGTTGTCTCTGCATCTGTTCTCAGTGCTTCTGGCGGGATTCCATCTGGTCCTGCTGCTTTCCCGCATTTCAGTAGCTTTATGGCGTTCAGGACTTCCATTTTCGTTGGGGGATTAATGTTCACTTGTAATTCAGCGGCTGCAGGTGGTATTTCTGGACGAAGTGCAGGTGGTGGTCGATCTCAGAGCTTCTTGAAGTGGTCGGCCCATCGTTTCCTCTGTTTCTCTTCTTTCGTAATTAAATTTCCTTCTTCGTCTTTTATTGGTTTCATCTGTGTTGGTCTCTTCCCTGATAGCAACCTGGTTATTTGATACAATGTTGTCAGGTCTCTCTTACCTGCAGCCTGTTCTGCTTCACTTGCCAGTGTTTCGTAGAAGTGTCTTTTGTCTTTGCGTGCACTCTTCTTCACTTCTTTGTCCAGTGTTTTATAAATTATAGTCAGTTCCTCTTGTCGTTGAGCATCCTTGCACTGGTTTATCTTCTGCTTCACCATCCTCCTCTCCTCTATCAGCTTCCAGGTATCCGTCGAGATGCATTCCTTATCTTCTTTCTTCTTCCTTCCTAATACTGTTGTGCAGGTATCTTTCCACATCTCTTTCAAAGACTTCCAGTGTTCTTCCACACAGGTTTCTTCAGGGATGTTCCACGATATCTCCCATTTTGTGTTGATGGCTGACTGTCGTGAGGATTTCCTTTGTAGTTTCATCCTTCAGTTTCCGAGTGTTGTACTTGAATTGAGGTCTATCACCAGCTTCCTTGAAGGCTTTTAACTTGATTTGGAAGGTTCCTTGCACTAGATAGTGGTCTGAACCTACATCTGCTCCTCTTCTTGACCTTGTGTTAAGTAGACTGCGTCTCCATTTTCTTGAGATTGAGATAAAGTCGATTTGATTTTTAGTGTGTCCATCTGGTGAAATCCATGTCGCTTTGTGGATATCTTTGTGCCTGAACACACTGCCTCCAATCACCAAATCGTTGAATGCGCAGAATTCTGCAAACAATTCTCCATTCTCATTCATTTCACCTAGTGCCTCTCGACCCATGGTTATTTCTCTTGCTGTGTTGTCCCCTCCCAGTTTGGCATTCATGTCGCCCATCAGAATTTTGATATCGCCAACTGACGTCTTGTCCAGTGTTGATTGAAGTTGTCTGTAGAAATCCTCCTTTTTCTCTTGCTCTGCATTATTTGTAGGTGCATAACATTGTATGATTGTGACCTTTCTTCCTTTTGGGTTGAATCTTGCTGTCATGATCCTGGAGGAGATTGGTTCCCACTGCATGAGAGCCTTCGATGCTCTTGAGGACATCATGATAGCCACTCCCTCAGTGTGCTCGTGGTTGTCGTCTGGGTGACCGGAGTGATTATTGATTCTCCAGTTGACAGTTTGGAGAGTCCACTCCCATTCCATCTGCTTTCGCAAATCCCAAGCACTTCGATGTGATACCTCCTCATCTCCTTTGCAATCTGGGCTGCCTTACTGGGTTCAAACATCGTGTGGACATTCCATGTCCCCACGTTTACTTTCGCTTTCATCGAGAGAAGGGGAGACACATCGGCCGATTGGCTTCCCGAAGGCTTTCACCAACTGGCGTCATTTCGCCTCTCCGATTCCAGCGGGGAATAAGTTTGTTTTCATTTTTTATATTTTGTATGTGCTTTGAAGTTTCTTTAGCGGTTAGATTTGTTTTACTGTGTAGGGTTGCTAGCCCTATGCCCAACCTTCCCTCTTTACCCGGGCTTAGGACCGGCTAGTAACTAGTAAACTAGTTAACCAGGCGAGGTTCCAAGGCAGAAGTAACCCTTGGAAATGTTCTTTCTCAATGCAGAGTTTAAGCTTGATCAATCTTATTGCGACAGCCTCCGCTATGTTGAGTAGGCGTTGACGAACTACATGTAATGTCGTTTTGGGAACATGATGAATGACATTGGAAGCTTTATTAGCATCTGTGTGATGCTCTGTGTCAACAGGTGCGCTAGGACTAAACTTCCCACCACTTTCACTTCGCCCTTTTCAAACCAAGCTGGTAAATAATCTCGTATCTAGAGACGTACCTGCCTAGTTGCACACCCTGTGTAATTAGTTCCACAGGAACAGTTAGGTTGATATATGCAAGATGAAGAGCTAAGATTAGGTAGGCTATTCTTTAGTCTCGGATTGAGCATTGGTCGACTACTGAATGATATACAAAGCCGACCCGCAAGAAACATCCTGTTGACTGCTCTAGCTAGGCGTTATGATAGAATGTCACTTCCAGCATCTTCCTTGAATTGTAAGCGCAGAAACAAAGGCTTCTTTCTCACTGTCATCAGTTCTTGTTTAGAACCAATGTAGTTGATGTTAGTTTTGATGAACCTATCCGCATATCCATTTTCGCTTAGAATATCACGAATACCCATTAGTTCTTTTTTCCGCACACTCCATGGAACAAACAGATCTTACTGTAAATTCCAAGCATCTGATTATATATATTGGTTCTGTGTTTTACAGATACGAAGCTGAGGAAGTGCGTATACTGTGCCTTAGACGTTAGTTTTCTATACATACTTCTGAGTATAGAGCCATATTTATTTCTTGTTATTAGCATATCAAAAAAATGTATGGAATCATTGATTTCATTTTCGTATTGAAAATGAATTGACGAATGAGCACTGTTGAGATGGTTCAGAATAGGACTAATACATATGCACCTATCAAAGATTAAAGAGGAACCATCCGCATATCGACAGTAAAACTACATATTAGCAATTTGATCTTTCAAAGTACCACTTTGTCAAAAATATGTCTGCAAATGCTGAGTGCAATGGAGATTCTATAGCCATTCCGTCAACTTGTCTGTACAGATTACTGTTGAAGATGAACTGGACATTCACTGTATATTTTAGCAATAGTTCTTACAAATTCATAACAGGAATGCCAGAGTGTAGGTTACCTTCAGTGGTAGCGCACGTAGCTGACACAGAGCATCACACAGATGCTAATAAAGCTTCCAATGTCATTCATCATGTTCCCAAAACGACATTACATGTAGTTCGTCAACGCCTACTCAACATAGCGGAGGCTGTCGCAATAAGATTGATCAAGCTTAAACTCTGCATTGAGAAAGAACATTTCCAAGCGTTACTTCTGCCTTGGCCTTCAGCAAACTAAAGGCAACTCCTGTCTTTTTTATCGTTATCTTTCTGTCCATTATCACATCACTCATCTGTATATGTATCATCCTAATATTGACTAATTTAATAAAGATAAATTGATTTCCTTACAATCCCTAGTTCTCATTACATCTTGAAAATGTAATTGCCCTTAGTTTAGCTTGATTTTATGCTGTACAAATGTATTTTATGATTGTAGAACCTGGTTGGAGAATTCGATTGAAAATATTATTCGTTGTACAGATTGTTGGTTTTATAAATATTAATTCACTTGAAATTGAGTGTTGGAGTTTAGACTGTTCGAACAACCATTGTGATTTATTATCACGGTAATAGCGCAATGCTGAACTTGCAAACTGTAAAGTCTTCATTCCTTATTTCATCGATTTCAGTTAATAAAAGTATAAACACGTAGAAATCCTTGCTAATTGTATGTTAACTAGCTTCACTATATATGTTGAAGGCTGTAAGATAATTCAATGACTGGCCAAACACATCAATCGTATGTATGAACCACAGTGATTGAAGAACGTCTAGGCATATCTGACCGACTGAACCATAGCTTTATACATCCAGTACAATATAACATTATTTGGTGTACATAAACTTTTCAAGATGTTGTTTTCCGATAGAATATAGTAAAATAGTCTGGATGGAAAGTCACAGTACTTAAATTTTTTCTCGTTGGTTGTACTCACTTGAAGTTATTTACAGAGGGTTAGCAACGCGCAATTAGATTAGCTTCTTAACAATTGATCATCAGCTTGAAAGTATTTTCCTCTGAATAACTAAGAAATTGATTCTTGTGAGAATTTTATGTAAAGTTAAAGCAGGAATGAGTAACTGAATGACTTTTGGGTCGAATCCTGCTGGAACATAGGCTTATTTTCAAGCCTATTCGCTATCGATATAGCAATAAGAGGGTCAACTAACCATGGATTATTCGGAATGTATTTTTCTAAAATGTAGAAATTGCTCACTAGAAATTGAATGTGAAACCTATGTGTGTACTTCGTGTGTCTACTTGCATGCATCTGTTTGCAGTTTCTCTTCTACTTGGTAGTGTCATTTTTCTATTGTCTGTATATTATTATCATTGTCATCTTCTCCTGCTTTCATCTACCTCTTGTTTCTTTTTCCCTTTTGAATATTTTAGAAAAGAATTGATTGGGAGGCGATTTCACGTGGTCGTTATTCATGGAAATCACAAGAATATCAAGATTTATGCGTTCAGTTGAATGGTACATGGATAGGTAGCAGTTGTCGACCATTCTATGTACCAGATGTTTTCTTCTTTTCATGTATCCTGTTTATGGCAACATTTATACTTGCATTCACTATGAAATCAATGCGTAACTCGCCATTCTTTCCTAATCGTGTAAGTAGAAATGTTTTTATCATTATTATTACTATTATTTTGGTATTCTATTTAATCGAGTAAGTTGGTTGTTGCCTACCAACAGCTGCTACCTTAACTCGGTGGGGTTTCGGCTTGCTTATTGCTATGATCCACTAATATGCGCTAGCTGAAACACTTGTTTATTTAAGTCTTAACACACCAAAAATTCTCCTGGATAGGGGTAAGATAAAAGCTGTCACCTTTATAATGTAAGTAGCAACCTATGGTAGGGATCTGAGGATGAAATTGTACTGCTGGTTGATTGTGGAGGTCTGACAATAGTGAAGTGTTTTCTATGGATAACCAGCAGTTATTGTCAGGTTCTACGTTAATTTGTCTCTCTATCTGCCCCACATCCTCCGGACGTCATCGGTATGGGCTGTTTTTTATCCGAAATCTCAATCGAATACCTTTCAAAAGGGCTATATATCACCGGCTTCTAGCAGGTGTCCTTTGGGTTATGAGGTCATGCAAGTCAAATCCATTTTCTTTTTCGTGTACCTCATAGCAACAACTTCTGTTGTGTAGATAGGTTGGTAGAAGTGTCAACAGTCTGCACGTTTCCAGCTACATACGAAACCCAACTGACTGCAACAATTTGACTGATTCCATACTTAGCCTAAGCTTCACTCTTATCGCACCTTACCTATCAGTAAGGTATGTTTATAGCTAAGAACTAACTCACTTTCATTGTTATCTATTCTAATCGCAAATAACTCACTGAGGTTGGGTGATGTGTACAAACTGGTTATTAGATGTTGTTGGTAGTCAAAGTAAGCTTCTGAGCCTGTCTACTTCACTCTTGGTTAATTTAACATTATGGCTAACTAACAGCAAGCAACCTGAGATATTAGTGCAGTAGAGTGAATATATATATATATTACCTCTAGATTGCAAATAACTATCTCCAACGAGGATCAACAAAAGTGTGAAGTTCAGACGCCTAACTGATCCCCTAAACCGGTTGTTGTCTCTTTCGATCAGGAAAAAAAGCCGCCCGAATGTATTTGAGCCACTACAAATGATTTGAAAGTATATCACGAGACCAGTCAATTCTAACGCAGTGACTTAATGGTGACTTGTTTATCTCAAGGCCCAATAGTTCTAAACTCGATCCCCAGCGGGGTCATTGGTGTGCACTGATGGGGAGTCCCATACTAAGACGGAACAGCTGTTCAATGCTCCTAGGCTTTCACTGATTGTCCAGTTGATGTCAGTCAGTGATAAAAATCTATCTCTAGATAAATCAACCGATTTCCAGTACCAATGATGGGCCTATTTTAGTTGAATTGCTTATTGAAAGTAAAGCATAAACAAGGTGTTTCGAAGCATCTTTACAACAGAAGACAACGAGACTGATTTCTGAAGATGACTTGTATTTCTAGAGTTCCGACTTTATTTTCTCATCAACGGACTTTTAGCCATAAGATCATAATCACAACTTTGAAACCATCTCGAAGAGAATCTCTCCAGGTCCTAGTTAGAAGGCGTTATCTGTGGGGTCAACGAAGTCCAAGAGTAACAATTTATGTCATTAGATAGTGGTTGTGCTGAATCAAAAATGAACAGAAGTAAGAAATGCCGAACATCTGACTCCAACCGATTGGTTGGCTGAATGATAGAGTCGCATACTAGGATAAAACAGTTCTCCAGTGCTCCCAGGCTGTCAATGTTTCTCCAACTTTTTGTTAATCAGTAGTGAGGGTTTGAGCATTCAAAAAGCACTTATTATATATTTTTTAATATTCTGTGTAAGAAGTTCAACTTAGGATATATATTGAATAGTTCTGATGGAAATGTTACCTTCAGAACATTACATCTGAATCCCTATGCCGATTATTCTAAACGCCTTTAATTTCACAAGTTTTCAGAATTATCAAACAAATAATTGCATATAATAGTAGTTTTCCTTTAGAAATATAAATTCTTTAATTATTATACAACAGTGAGTCATCAAAGTTTTTTTTACCAAATATATTCAGAAACTAGAACACACGAATGTATGTTATGATGACAGTCGTGGCTTATCACAAACTGGCTAAAGTATCAAAATGCTCTTCCGAATAATTCTGAGAAGAACGCACACTCAAAAAGGGATAGCGAATTCACTAGAATATCTAAGTATTCTATATTCGATTGTGGAAAGTTCATAACTCCAGTCTCAAACTATAGGGAACAAATGTCAATCTCTTCCTGTGTTGTCCCACTGGTTCTTCAGTAGATGTTTCTCTGAGGAAGTAAACCACTTTCAAACTTATAATCTATACGGAAAACATGGAGTTTTCTCTGAAATGAGACGTACATTTAGCAGCAAAAATAACTAGTCATCCAGTGTAGGTAAGTAGTTAGTGTGACTATGGGCTGAGTGGTGATTCATCAAGTTTGCGATCCCGATCACTAAACTGAGTAGTGATGCGACATTATAGCGTATGTTTACGGACTGGTATTGAAGCAGAAAACGATAGCTTGATGGTTTGGTATGGAGTCACAGCAACAAATACACCAGTTGAACCAAAGTCTCCAGGAATACTATATCTTTCCTCTCTGACGATACAAAGCTTTTGGGAGACAAAACTTGTGTTTTAAATGTGACGGAACTCACAGATCTATGTATCACAATATACTTCTAATTTAATAGTGGAGTACATAAGCGGGTGAAAGAAACTCCAATGAGATCACTGATATCCGGACTAATCGCAGAAGCAGTGATGCAGAGACTGGAAGTCATCATCTTACCTGTGATCAAATAGAAAATGTGGACTACACTGCATGGATATTACTTTAGTTATCATTAAAAAAAGAATAAATTGGACATGGACAACACGAGCAGTTTGAACAGCAACGTTTTCAACGACATCAAATTCACAATGGAGAGGGAGTCCAACAACTGACTTCTATTCCTACATGTTCTGGACAGCAGAATAAGTGTCGGGAAACTGGAAACCCAAGCGTACAAGAAGCCAACGCACACTGATCAAATCCTTAACTACAACAGTAGCAACAACCCAACAAAGCACAAAATTAGTTGCATGCAGACTCTATTCAGAAGAGCGAGAACACACTGAAGTACAACTACTTCACGGAGAAACGAAGGAAACTACCTTATGTCTATCCTAAAAAAGAACGACCACCCACGAAACTTTATCAGAGGGTGCCTATCCCGTGCACCATCAACTACAAGGTCATCGACAGAAATCGACAAGCGGATCATCCTACCATACATAAAGAGTATATCAGAGATCACGACAATATTACTGAGACCATATGGAATTGGTATTGGCTCATAAAACAATAAATTCCCTCCAAACCCTACTATGCAGACCAAAGGACGCAACAACCAAAGAAGACAAGCCAAATATCATTCACAAAATCAACTGCAATAACTTAGGTCAACACTTCGTTCACTGGACAAAGTGACCGCCCTCTTCGCCTCCGTCTACACGAGCACTAATTGGCTATTGAACATCACTGACGACATTTCATCACTCATATCAAGGCAGGTGGATAACTATGGATATGAATTCAATTTTGAAAATGTAGAAATTTTGGACAGAGGAAACGTAAAGAATATCGGAGAATTCCTAGAAGATTGACATTCAGGTCAGTCATTGATCAATAGATGCATAGACATAGACCCAACCTTCTAACCAATGAGAAAAATATGGACCGAGGCTGGATTCTAACCAGCAGCCACCGGGTTTCTCGCCGGATGCTCCACCAAGTGAGAGACGAAGACCAACGGTTCACCTGATTTTTATTTCACTTCAATCATCAAGAGTTGTGCTCGACTATCAGGTGAATTCATGACGCCTTACTACCGCTTGACCGTACTCACACTGCCTGCCTAGAGGGACTTCTCATCCCAATTGAAATCTAACTGAATCAGAGAGGGGGTAGGGTCAAATTGATTATGATTTCCACTATCTGAGATAGCCATGGTTTAGCAGACTAGTACTGATACTGGTTGATGATTGAAGGACCGGCTGGACAAAATTAAAAGAAATAAAACAGAATCAAATTAAAATTTAGAATCTAGTCGGCAGTCGGACCTCGTCACTCAGTTGGTAAGCCGTCGGACAGGAAACCTGGTGGTCGCTCGTTTGAACCAGGCCACAATACAAGTCCTCATTCCACCTTCAGTCATCACCCAGTATTAATACAAGTCTGCCAAACCACGGCTACCTCAAATAATCAAAATTAGAATGAGAAAATTGGTAAGCAATCACCAGTTCAGAGGTCAGGAAGAGAAACAGATGCAGGAAAATATATGCAGTCAGTGGTACAACATTCAAAGTAAACAAGTGGTCACACCAGTTCGTCAGGGGAAACTACTGAATCACTTATGAAAAATTTCTGATAGCTGTCGCTATGTTGAAGGTAGTACTGTCTCTGATGTTGTCTAGAAAGATTTGGAAAGCGTCACGATTAAATCATACAGCTCAGCGAATCCAATGCAACCATGATAATCCACCTGCGCTACAAATATTCTACGCCATATCAAAATATGGAAATTCCTTTAAGATTATTGATAACTGATGTTAATATGTCATACATTGAGATTCTGGATGGTGATCTCATAGCTAAAGTTTCCCTTTACAAGAGAAATGTGAATGACGTCGTAGCTGATAACAAGCTGACTTGTGAGAAAGAGAATAACAATCACTTGCCATTCTTAGATGTACTCTTGAGTCAATGAGAGGATCGTTCAGTAAAACGGTCGGTCTAGAGGAAGCCTACAAAAACAGTATTTGAATTTATTCAGTTTCCATCCTACCCACTTCAATAGATGTCTTATAAAATGCTTCTTGAATAAGATCTATCACATTTGTATGTCAGACAGGATGGATGGAGATACCAAATTACTGACCAAAATACTCATAAGAAAAGGAAATTTGTTGAAGTTTATAAAGCATTGTAGAAGCCAGCTGACACTATAGTTGACTATATACTTAGTCCATAAATGAAACGTTCTCATCGAA